AACCTGATGGCTTGGCAACTTTGTCATCCGAGTAAAAACACACAACAACATTGGCTGTCTTTATGTCTTCAGCTTTACCACCACTGGTGGGTAGAATTTTTTTTTTTAATTCAGAAACATTAATTAAAATACTGTATATATGAACAGTAAATAAGAGTTGCTTTCATATTCTTATGTAGAGTAATGATGATATGTTTACACATGTGCTCACTTACATACGTGATCTCACTTATTTCTTTACCATTAATGGTTAGCTACTTCCAATGTTCCATTTATTAACATTAAATAACATTACTTAAAATAACCATATTAATTTTACTATAGCTACAACCAGGGTCTTATTTTCTTCAGTTTTATATGTAGAACCAATCAGTCACTGGTTTTGTAAACATTAACGAAAACAATACCGTCTCGTCTCCTCGTGTGTTTTAATATTCTACATATTATTAATGAATTGTATTGTTCATTTTGCACACATAAACATTAATTCAATCAAAAAGACATTCAGTAATAAACAATAATGAATGTTTTGTACATTGAGAAATGACACTGTTTACACAATTGTGCATGTCTGAACAGTGGCAGGCCGCTCAAACCCGTCAAAATTCGAGTTTTCGCCGTCGAAATTTTAAATTGTGCAGTGTTTTTTTTGTGTGTCCAAATAAAAAACGTCGAATTAAAAACTCACGAAATTTGAGAACCTACTGTACAACATTTAACCCCTCAATATGTCTGCAGAGAGACCACAAAGCAGCGAAAGTGGTGCTAGTGCTTCCAAGTGTATGCACAAGTCACTATCTATCCAGGAAAAGGGTGAATTTCCATGGTCCGGCACCGGTCAGGTCCCGAGGTTGCCAGACTAGAGAGGTACAACCTGTATTATTATTATGTACAGTCAACCCTCACTTTACGCGGTCCCACATTCCGCGTTTCCACGTTTACGCGGTACCCTGCCGGAACCTGGGATGCTCACATTCCGCGGTGCGTGTACCCTTTTACGCGGGTGAAGTATAATTTTTTTATTTAGCTCATAAAATTCATACAAATTATCCGGCCAGAATATAATTTACATTGCTGGAATTCTTACAATTTGATGATCATTTTGAATATAAATATCATAGATTTTGCATTAGACATACAAATTTTAGATCTAATGCAAGTATTTTGTTTACTCAGAGCAAATATGTTATCTTTTGTGCAAAATATATGAAGTGTATATTCAAAATATTCCTTGTCTTGCAAGGAATCCAGCAATGTCAATTATATTATCCTAACTTTAGTCTGAGGTATTATTTATTATTAAAAAGGTAAATATTCTGGTTTCTCCCAAACATTTATCTGGTAGGGAGGGACCGACCGACCATCTGGCGCGGTTGGAAGAGGGCGGGAGCCAAGGTGGGGTACTTTGATTGACAGATAGTGTCGTGAAGAATATTTTTTTTTTATTAACTGAAGATATTTGTTTTAGCTCATAAAATTCATACAAATTACCCGGCCAGAATATAATTTACATTGCTGGAATTCTTACAATTTGATGATCATTTTGAATATAAATATCATAGATTTTGCATTAGACATACAAATTTTAGATCTAATGCAAGTACCGTATATACTCGTGTATAGTTCGAGTTTTTAAGACCAAATTTTTAGGCAAAAAATTGGGGGTCGTCCTATACATGCGTAATAGTTTTGTTAGGTTGAACCCGTGCATGATGGGAAGGGCGAGGAGCAACTTTTAGCTTCAGACATGAAAAATATTTACCATTTACTGCCAGTAAACAATGGAAACGTAAAATATGTACCATTTAGTAATGAAAAGTCGTGCAGTTCCTTCAGTAAATGAAGCTCACCAACTTACAATAGGCTAAATTACCTTACAACGTGCTTTCAGTAGTCCATGTTGAAGTTCTTAGCACAGGCTAACTTATCATATCATATACGGTATCACAGTTCTCATTGATCTACAAAAAATACCGGTAATAAAAACCTTTTCGATATTTCACACTTAATATAATACCCGGTAATCTACTTCAACCTCCTATTGTTTACAACGACGCATGACGCATCACGCACCACTAGCTGTATCAGCTAGACAGTACACGTGTTTTTCGAATCGTTTTCAGTTAAAAAACTGTTACATCACATGTATATTTTACCTTAACTGTGTCTGAATGAATATATTCTCGGAAATAAATAGTAGTTTTGCTGAAACGTGATGTATTTTAATGTAAAATAGGATAAAATACATGACGAAAACATAAGATTTTACCTAACCTTCCGATGTTCAAGAGAAGTTACTCGTTTTTTTAATAGTTTTTGGTTAAAATATTGTTATATTACAATGGTATTCTATTCATACTGTGCTTGATATAATGCATTCACGGAATTGTAATATTTTTGCTGAAATGACATACATTTTACAGTGGAAAGTGGGATAAAATCGTGACGAAAACAATGACTCGCATTCTTTCGTTTAAAAGATGTTACCGTAATCGCTTTTCAAATGGTTTTCAGTTAAAAACTGTTGTATTACGATAATATTCTATCCTAATTGACTAGAATAAATACTACGATACCATATTTCTGAATATTTTCATTAAAATCCATCAAAATCAATTTCCTTGTCATCGTCTGCAGCACCAAACAGCTTCTCCCAGTCCTCTCCTTGAACAGGGCTAGAGGGTAAGTGTTATTCGAATCGTTTTCAGTTAAAAAACTATTACACCACACGTATATTTTACCTAAACTGCGCCTGAATGAATATATTCTCGGAAATAAATAGTAGTTTTGCTGAAACGTGATGTATTTCAATGTAAAATAGGATAAAATACATGACGAAAACAAAAGACTTTACCTAAGCTTCTGTTCTTGAGATGTTACTCGTTTTTTTAATAGTTTTCGGTAAAAATTCTGTTATATTACAATGATATTCTATTCATACTGTGCTTGATATAATACATTCACGGAAATGTAATATTTTTGCTGAAATTACGTACGTATTACAGTGGAAAGTGGGATAAAATTGTGACAAAAACAATGACTTTCGCTTTCTTTCGTTCAAAAGATGTTGAAACTACCCGCGTTTCAGTGTAAAGTGTCGTCATAATAAATGGTAAACAATTTGCCTAAGGCACTCGTGTTTCAGGCACGGCGAGCCTCAGTTTATAGGACGGAGAGCGTTTTTAGTGAAGGTTTTGTTGTTCCATTACCCTCAAAAACGTGGGTCGAACTATAAACGAGGAATATCGTAAATTAACGATTTCTTGGTCAAAAAATCAGGGTCGACCTATAAACGAGGGGGGGTTATAGACGAGTATATACAGTATTTTGTTTACTCTGAGTAAATATGTTATCTTTTGTGCAAAACATATGACATTTATATTCAAAATATTCCTGGTCTTACAAGGAATCCAGCAATGTCAATTATATTATCCTAACTTTAGTCTGAGGTATTATTTATTACTACACCTTAAAATCTAGTGGTTTCCCCCAAACATTTCTCAGAGGGAAGAGCCAGCGAGTGTAGTGTGAGAAGAGGGGGAGGGAGTTGAGTCCATTATTTGAATGGACATTAACTTGGCGACTGTATTTCTCTATTTCTCTTAAGTATTAATTGTGTGCATGTACCATCATAAAATTAAGATGTTATTTTTACTAGAACATAGGTATTGTGTCGGAAAAAGTGGAGTTTGGGGGGTCAGCCGGTCTCTATTTCATTTAATCCCATATGTTATGTTGTTCACTTTACGCGGGCCTCCGTGGGTTCAATTGACCACGTAAAGTGAGGGTTCACTGTATACTGTACTGTATATATTTGTTTTCAGGATTAGCCCACTAGGTCACAGGTCAATGACCCACATCAGGGCCTGGGGGGCAAAAATATTATAATTACTGTATAATTATAATAATAATAATAATAATAATAATAATAATAATAATAATAATAATAATAATAATAATAATAAATAAATACAAAATTAAAAATAAATAAATAAAATGATCGATAGTGATTAATGATACATGTATGTTGTGTTGTCAAAGTAAGAGAAACAATTGAGACCCTGCAATTGTGTGTAAATGAGGCAGAAAGTCAGATCAGCAATCTGGGACTTGGTCACAATTCTCGTGATGCCATATGGCAGCAGGGTCTACCATTAGACAACACATTATGCTTCCAATATCTTCCCAGGCAGTAGTACCTCCCTGTTTGATAGCTGTGTTGTTAACACTCCAAAACTTCACAACACGTCAGAGTTATTTAGGTCAGATACATTTTTGTATTTATAATTTCCATATTAATCTTATGAAAATTTGATCCATCTATCAAATATTTGTCTTTTCTTTTCTTGTCTATTAAATGACCGCACCATATGTATAATACATTATGTCTACCTTTTTCATCTCTCAGAAGATATGATTTAATTGTACCAGGTTGACAAACAGTACAGTAAGTCAGTTTTTGTGATACATTTGTTATTTATGAACATTCCTTTTTGAAGTAATGATGATTATGCATCATGTAATCGTAATTGATTACATCCATCTTTACTGTAATCGTAATCATAAAATTACCATGTAATTGTAATCATAATCGATTACATTACTGATGTAATCGCCCCATGTCTGGTACTGTGCATGTGTCCCAAGAGTCAGTACCAATCACTTTCAGTCCACTTCCAAGTTACCCAACTGGAAGGGCTGAATCATGCAGTCCATCCAGACCTTAGCCATGGGACTTCTTTAACAATTCTTTATTTACGCTCTAACAATTCTTTCTTTACGTCCCTAACAATTCTTTCTTTACGTCCCTAACAATTCTTTATTTACGACTCACGTGCACACAAAAACTTTTTGCTGATCATAATATTTAACCCATATGAATAAATTAATGTTCTATTTTTCCTTGGTAAGGTATGTATAAGAATTAATATTACTGAACAGTTTACATAAAGACAATAACCACCACTCTATACGAGGAGGTAAAACTGAGAACAACTTACCGCTATCTCTCTACACGCTGACATGGACAGACCGGTTCCCTCTATCTGTTTGAGGGCGTACTCCTTGGTGTCCACACTGTAAGGTATAATTAATGCATTTATGAATTTATCTTAAAATGACTGCTTCATCCTTAACTTCCATCTATGGCTGAGTCAGTGGAGAAGCTGCTGTGGCATACATAATACCCACCATAGCCTCCCAGGTAAGACCAATGGACCCCTGAAGTAGACAGCTCTGACTTAACCCCAATGTGGGTGACCATCTCTCTCCTGACAACCATCATCATAAATGGGGAGATAAAATATCGTAAATAACAGTGAGTCATGAAGCTCCCAACATACACACACCCGCACACATATCGAAAAGGAACTGTTCCAGTTACTGCACCACATGAACACCACACCACCCGATGTGTCCATGACCACGTGAGATCCTTCATATCAACATCAACGGATGAGTAACTAAACCACGTGTCCTATGTGACCTCACACAATATGGCAAGAGACCAGCCCGGGCCATCAATAATAATTTGTATGTTCAATTTATGTTCCTTCTCCTTTTAGTAATGAAAGCTATTGTTAAACGACCCACCCACCCTATGTCTTTGTATATAATAAGTCATTTTTGTGTAATGTATATTTTCAGCCTTCGAGCTGCAGAACCTTTTCAATAAACCGTTAATAATTATTATTATTATTATTATTATTATTACTATTACACACACATACACTACTACTTTGCTGTCACTGGAAATCAAGTATGACGATCATCCAGCTATGGTAAAATTATATGGGTTATTAAGGATGTCACCTAGGTTAGTGAGTTTTGAGGTGACTAAAGAGCCAGATACTTGACCGGCAGGGTCGTCCACATTCGTTGCACATGTGGAGGGCTCCATCGTCTGTGGGAGGGGCGGTGGCAGCGTCTTTCCGACGTTGGCGCCTATCTGCCTCGGTTTGCAGTTGGGCTAACTCAAAAGTATTGACACCTTCTTGTGTGGTGCTCCTTCAAGCGTTACGATGTGGAGTAATCGTCTCCCAGGTGAGGGAGTTGATTCGGCACCTATTCAGGTTTGTCTTAAGTCTATCCTTATACCTTTTTAATTGCCCGCCAGCATTACGTTTACTATTCGTTAGGTTACTGTAAAGTAGCTGCTTTGGCAGTCTACTGTCGTCCATGCGGGAAACATGGCCAGTCCAACATAGTTGTTCATGGATAATGGTAGCCTCGATGCTCCTACAGTTGGTGTCAGCAAGAATACTGGCATTTGTTCTCTTGTCTTCCCAGCAAACTTGGAAGATGGAACGTAGACTACGTTGGTGAAAGTTTTCAAGTGTCTTGAGGTGCCTCCTGTATGTGACCCAGGTCTCACTGCCATATAGTAGGGTGGGGAGGACCACTGCTCGATATACATGCAGCTTTGTGGATAATTTCAGCTCCCTACAGCTGAAGACACGGTTTCGGAGTCTGCCAAAGGCTTGAGATGCACATCTGATCCGATGGTGAATCTTTTCATTGATGTCTGCAGTGGTGGACAGGCGGGAGCCGAGATGCTGAAAGTGGGCAACATTAGAGAGTGTAGTACCGTTAAGCTGGATGGATGGTGGAGGCGTGTCTGAACCAGGGGCAGGCTGAAAGGGAATCCGAGTCTTACGTACATTCACCTCAAAGACCTACAGAATATCCTGTAGGTCGCGTTCAGTGTGAGTGATAAGGGTGAGGTCGTCTGCATACTGAAGTTCACTACTGTAATGGAAGTTGCTGACACCTTTGTTCTTGCCTGGAGTTGTCTCATGTTGAAAAGACCCCCCTTAACCCGGTACTCGATGTTCACCCCGCTGGCAAAATTGGCACCAGCACGAGTAAGAAAGGCAGCCAAGATGGAAAAGAGAGTAAGTGCCAGTACACATCCTTGTTTAACCCCCGTTTGGATGGGGAATAAATCTGACTGGGTGCTGTTGCGCAGGACACTGCTGTTCATGCCATCGTGGAGTTGCCTCACAATGGCGATGAATTTTGGTGGGCAGCCAAAATGGCTGAGGGTCCACCAGAAGGCTTCCCTGTTAACCGAGTCGAAGGCCTTGGTTAGGTTGATGAAGGCCATGTACAGGTCACGACGCTGTTCTCTGCACTTTTCCTGTTTCTGGCGGGCAGCAAAGATCACGTCAGTGATGTCACGTGATGGTCTAAAGCCACATTGAGATTCTGGGAGGAAGTTTTCCGCCTCAGGAAGAAGTCTGTTTAGGAGGACTCCGGCGATAATCTTGCCAGCCACGGAGAGCAGCGAGATCCCACGGTAGTTGCTACAATCTGACCGGTCTCCATTGTTCTTATAAATATTGACAATGGAAGCATCTTTAAGAGCTTGGGAGATTTCCTCCTTTTCCCATATACAGGTACGTACATATACTCCTCGACTTACGACAACCTGGACATACGACCGTCATGGTCGTATAAAATATTTTTCAAATTACGTATTTCCGAGTCCAGGTTAGATAAAATTAGAGTGGGTTAGGTATAATTTACTTCTGACTCATGGGTACTTATTGGATAATTGGCAGAATAACTTATATAACTTGGTCCTAGCAAAGGCAGAGTCTAGGCAAAAATGTTTACTTGACCTCATATTTGGCTTTCATTACTCAAGGATATTTACAGCTATACAACACTAATAAGGTCTATCTGCAAGTTTACTCAGTCAGAAAAAATATTTGTACCATAAATGTGGACAATAAAAATCTTCCATTTTGGTACAAATTATTTGAAAAGTTGTAAGAAGATAAAAGCTGAATCTCTTCCATTCAGCGAGAAATAGAAACACTCAAGCCTCTTCTTATCATAAAAAAATTAACTTAAAAGACAAACTGTAATATCGTATTTTAGTATGTTGATGTACAAAACATTTTCTTCATTATTCTATGATAAAACAAGTGTAACAAGCATTATTACAACATATATTATTAATTTTTCTTATGCAATCGGGAAATAGCGACTTATTATATCCAGGTTGAGTGTGTTACAGCAGCTAAGGAGGTCCTGTCCGCTGCCAAATATTTGTTTTGAGTACAGGGCTGCCTCACTTATCGCAAAGGTTACGGGCATGAAACTCGTTGCGAATGTCGAAATTGCAAATAGCGGAGCAATTTTCCCATAAGAAATAATGTAAATAGGGGGATACAGGCATCGTGGTGGTCACGGCCGTCAGATTTTAACACTTGTTTTACTCAATACATATAGAGCATAAAAGAAATAAGGAAACAAGGGCATAATAATCATCAATAAGATGTATGTGGGGTGGTTGGTGCACTGGGGGGTTGAAGGTTGGCCAAGATAAATGCATCAAGAGTCATTTGTTGTGCATTCTTCCTCTTCTCCTCAAGCACCTCGTAGTATGCTCGTATGTCTTTCTTAACATTGCAGATGACAGTGCAACTTCGGTCAACATTAGGGTCCATTTCTAATGCCATATCCATCGCCATCTCAAATGAAGAAATCAGATTCCTTAGGTTCCGTACAGTGAGGAGTTGTGTTGGAGTTTCATCTGCATCTTCTCCCGTTGCATGCCATCCTGCTGAAGCCTCTCCAGTTCTATCGGGTCTTCATTGGTAAGTTCTTCATTGCGAGAGTCGAGGAGGTCTTCTACGTCAGCGTCATCCACTTCATCGTATCCAGCCTTCTTTGCAAGAGTCACAATAGTCTTCCTTATTGCAGGCACTGGAGGGAAACCAAGAGAGTCGTGTACACACTCGGGCCACAGCTTACGCCACACACCGTTCATGTTCTGTTGTGTTATTGCCTCCCATGAATCACTGATGTTTTTTGTGGCTTTCCTGATGTTGTAGTGTTTTTTTCCAAAACTCCCAGATTGTAGGTTTCCCTTTTCCATCGGTCCCCTCAATCAGCTGCTCCATGATAAGCTGAGTGTAGAGCTGTACTCTGTTGTACTGCACTGTTCTGTACTGTACTGTACTGTACTGCACTGTACTGTATTATACTGTACTGTACTGAACTGCACTGTACTGTACTGTACTGTATTATACTGTTCTGTACTGTACTGTATTATAATTGTACTATACTGTTCTGTACTGCACTGTGCTGTACTGTACTGTCTGTACTGTACTGTTCTGTACTGCACTGTACTGTCTGTACTGCACTGTACTGTCTATACTGTACTGCACTGCACTGTCTGTACTGCACTGTCTTACTGTGCTGTGCTGTTCCATTTGTACTGTACTGCCTTGTAACAATTAATAGAAGAATAACTTATAAAATTAATTATCACTAAAATTTACAGTCACATTACCTTATTGTGAATGGATTGGCAAAGTTATTAAACATTTAATTCTAATAAACATTTATGGATCATTTATATGTTTTTAACTATCAAAAAGTTGTAAACCATAATAAACACTTTGATAGTGATTCAAGTGACACTGTACCTCATGACACAGTTAACATTGACACATGTGACCTCGAAGGTGTGCATGAATTACAAGTCATTGAACCTGAACTAACAGTAAACACTTCAATAGAAGTTAGTGAAACAGTCATAGATAAAATAAATAACGAATTATTATTTACACAACTTAGGTCAGGACATTCTTACGACACTACACCTCTGTATAGTGAACCTACCTCTGACACTATACCTGAGTATAGTGTATCGGCATCTTCTAATGCATGCACTAATAATTTACGAACATTTCAGTTAACTAGTAAGCCTCTAACCACTAACATGACTGACCCAGTGCCGCAAGCAACTAATGTGTGGAAAATACTACCACAGCATGATCGAATCCGAGACTTCACAGGGGAAGATCCTAACTATAATGTATTCGCATTTCTCCGAGCATGTGTGGATGTGACGAGACATAACAATGTCCAGGACGACGAGGATCGAAAAGCATTCGTCCGTGGTCACATTAAACCAGAGTGTCGCTCATGTCACCTAATGAATGCTACGGCTTTTACTCGATCAAAATATGATGATTTCAAAAGAAATTTGGTACGTTTCTTTGATCAGGGCTCAGTTGGCGGTCATCTTACATGGGTTTTTAGGATGGTAAACAGAACCGCACCTCGAGTCAGAACACAGGATATCTTTATGGCACAGTCTATAGCGGGGGAGGCTTATGGCGATGTGAAAGCGCACGTCTCCAGCTCTTATTGGTTTGACAATGACCGTAAAATGAGTGAGGAGCAAGTGTTTCGTCTCCTACATGCAATTTATATTTCTTCTGCGAGACGTAGAGTATAATCAAGCTCAAAAGGAAAATTACCGCAAGACAGACGAACTCACAGATTTTTCAGAAAAGATAGTACAGTGGGGTATGTTATAACGAATGGATTCTATTACGAATATTCCTATAACGAACGGTTTTACCTATAAAATTGAGAATGCTAGAACGAACGAAACTCCTACAACAAAATTTTTTTTTCTTTTGTTTTTTTAATAATTTATTGTTTTTTTATTACAAGTATTAATTATATTCTTTATTTCAGGGGTTTAGATGCATATTTATGCACTTTTTTGCAATTTTTTTCAATTTTATATTATATTTTTCAGTGTTAAGTGGTTGTATTTGGGGACCTGGAACGGATTAATCCTATAACGAACGAATGCTATAACGAACAAGGTTCTAGAACCAATTAGATTCGTTATAGCATACCCCACTGTACAGAGAGCACCATGCACACCTCTTGCTAGAACCATTGCTGCACCTGTGGCACAGTACCAATTAAGGTTCAGAAAGAAACAGGTACCAAACCTAAACAAAAAAACTGCCTGTAAAATTTCCAAGAAACAGAATCATATGACTGAAGACTGTTACTATGCAAAACAATACAGTAATACCTATCAGCCTAACAAAGGCAAGAAAAGCAACTTCAAAAATCATAATCTAAATCCATGGTCAAATTCAAGTGCCATTAACAAGACATACAATGCTGCACGGACCCTAAAGTGACCAGTGGTGTGTAGTACATCAATCTAGATCACACAGTTCAGAGAATTGTACCTTGCAGTACAGTACAGTATACTTCTCCAAATACAGTACAGTGTTGTAAAATATACCACTGTACATTATTATTTCTAACTTGAATGTTCTTCCATATTCTCATAAAATGGGACTCATAAGCTCGTTGAACAGGCTTTGTGTGAAATATAACAGTCTAGGACTGCTTTTAGTGTCCTGGTGGTCTAGAGGTAACGTTCCCCGGTCACAGTCATAAGATCGTGGGTTCGAATCCTGGCGGGGTGAGGTGTTGATATATATATATATATATATATATATCACTATGAAAAAGTGATGTGCAATAATCTTGGTGATCCTCCAGGTGCCACTTGTAGTGACAGCTGGAGGGATCACAACTTACTACTGCACACATACACATCATGCATAAATTTACTATTTTTATGTCTTTATTTTGTATAAACTTCTTGTTTTTAGCGTTAGAGCAGCAGGATATCAAATTTGTTTGGGCTCTTCAGGGGCTCAGGAACAGAACCTATTTTCCCCCATAAGTTATTAATGTCGATACACGATCACTCATTTAATAAAGGTTTTTGAGATCCGTATCCCCATCGTATGACGGTCAACACCTGTATTTATGTTAAATTAATAGTTCCATGTGTGCTGCTGTTGTTTTTGTTTCTTTGTAAGTATAAAACAGAATTATGTTATTTATAATGTCGATGAAACATTCAGACAATGCCTCCTAATGCTTATACACAAAGATGCCACCCTCAAGTTCATGATAAAATAGGGACAAAATCTGAACAGCAAAATGTTATTCCTCCATTCTGACTTGATTTATTTTTGAGGGAAGAAATGTTTCCTTCTATAAATATTTGTCAGTAGGTGGATGGTTAGCTTAGTAATTATCAGTGTATAATCTGCCCACCATACGTGCGAATTAGGCTGCCGTACCAAGTAGACATCAATGTTTTGCATACGGCTGCTGTACCTGTATCCGGTCAATTTGCAGTTTCAACTAACCACGGCTCTCGAGGTGAGGAAAGTGTTTCTTGCGATGGTTTAAACAATTTTAAGGGACCTTTCTTCTTTGACGTTTCCCTCACAAATAACTTATATATACCAATGTGTTCCCGGCTAGGTAAATAATTCTAGGTAATTTGAGGAAAACATTAGAGAAGAAAAGTGTCTTAAAATTGTTTAAACCATCGGAAAAAACTCTTTACTCACCTCGAGAGCCGTGGTTGGTCGAAACTACAAATTGACCCTGTTTCCTTTGTCTAAATATTACCCATTTATATGTTAGGTTAGATAGGTTTGGTAATGTAATGTGTGGAAAAGTGACTGGTAAGCATTTGGAAAGTAACATATACTATGGAAAACCAAACTTCAGTAAATGCAATAACTTAAATTTTCAAGGGACGTTCTAGAAGTAAGAAGGAAGATTTCGGTATTATTATCGTTTCGGTTAGGTTGAAATTATGGTTTTACAATGGTTTTGAATGATTCTGAACTTCATAATTTCAACTTCAGTAATTATTTACGACTTCACAGCGACTGATTTTTCATTGAAAACAAATTTAAAAATGATACAATTTCACGGTGTTTCATAGTGGACACTGTCGCAGTTATGGAAAATGTGTTAAAAAGTGGTTATTTCTAAATTAAACATAACCTAACCTTAGATGATAAAAAAAAAACAAGCGACAGAAACATTGTTAGAAGACCTCACCAACCTAACCAATGAAACCTTCCTAACCTAACCTAACCTAACCAATGAAACCTACCTAACCTTACCTAACTTCCTAGCCATGAAGCTCAACTCACCCGAACCCCCAGCATATTAAACAGAAAGAACTGACTATTATATCGTTTAATTTTACGTTTTTTGTGGACATGAGAGCAGCAGCCGGATTCATTTAGCTCAAAGACATACACTGGCGACTGGCATCAATTGGAGGCGATTGGCTATGTACCGCCACATCACACCGAGAAAGACAACGTAGTGTCGCCTAGGTGCCTAATTATCTACCAAACGAAGCAGTTTCCATAAAAATGAATATTATATCAGAACTCACTGAAGACATAGTAAGAATATAAATATCAATACAAATAACACGTCAGTTGTGAAGTACTCCATATTATCCAAAGTATTACCCTTGTTTTCAATTATTTTTAGTTAGGTTAAAGTAACAAGATGAAACACTCAATATTAAGGATGAGCCACACACCAGTATTACCAATAAATAAGCAGAATAACAGGTGAAAATTACATAAATCTTGTGGTAATGGGTCTATATCCAGTAAGGGAACTGTTCCACCATCTGGACAACAATAATAAAAGGTTAATTCAACTCATAAATGGCGACCACTAGCCATCACAATAAATATCTAATACAAATTAACTAGTCTTCCTGTTGTAATACCACACCCTCATAGGAATAACATACTATATATGCCTTTAATTAGCCATAAAGATAAAAACTAAGTGAGTGGTTTAAGCAATAGTGGTAATGATAGTGTTAGGGTTGTGTTAAGACAGCAGGTATGTCTCTCTCTTATCCTCCTCACCTGTCTTTCCTCTTGGCCTTGTACACATGGCCATAGGTCCCTCTCCCAACCTTACATCCTTCATAAGAAAATAATTCTTCTACTTTAGCTCTCTCATTGTTACGTTTCTCCTTCCACTCATAATCCATGGTGACAGAGTGGCCGTATATCCCCTCCCGCTCACTGGCCTCACAAACTCTCTATCCTTCTCTCTGAGGCTCTGGACTCTCTATCCTCAATACAAAACTAATATTCTAACTAATGATTCCCAATTTTCCTAGACTTTTAATATATTGGTATTACTCATATCTACTTTTATCTAAATTTAATAACAGTATAATTCTGTTTTGCTGGACACGGGAGATATTGAACTGTAAATTCATTCAGAAATTCTAAATATCTCCTCCTGAACCCGAGCCTAATGCTGCTGAGTCTCATATAAATGTTGTTAATGTCAGTGAAAAAAATAATAGAAGCAACACAATAATAAGATTAGTGACAAAAAATAATAATAATGAGGAATTTACAAATAACCAGAACTGGCTGTGGTATCTAGTTACTATACTTGTGTTTAATAATAATAATAATAATAAAATGTGTAACTACATGAAGTTTTGGGTTTAATTTTACGGTTAACAAATTTATTGGCAAAGCTTGGAGTGCAGTTTGCCTATTCTGAGTAATTAGGTGAGGTTTTGACACTGCAGGTGCTATCACTTCCCACTGCCACGCAGGATAGAGAGATAGATCGACGGTAATGCAGAGGGAACAGCACTAGAAGCTCCTGTGGGGCTTGAAGCAGTGGAGGGAGGATTGATTGATTGATTGAAACAGTTTATTTAGCCAGAAAAATGCAGATACAGAGTGGATAATAACAACAATATTAACATGGCTGAGCCAGTTGAGAACCTGAGCTCTCTTTGAGGCACCTGATATATACTATACATTTATCTCAAGGAAGTATTGTAGTGGATTCCTCCCCTGCAAACTCTTGTCGCTGAGTAGCCGACCCCGCAAATTCCCCAGTGTATGCCTCGTGGTCTAGGTCAACCAGCGCCGCCTTACATGACGAAGGTCAACTATTAAGCCACGCCTACCTCCGCTATATAAGACCTGACCTCGTGGTGACCTACCTCTCTTTCTACCTACAGCCAGTCCTCAAGCAACACCTCCTCCTCCTCCTGCCTGGCGGCCCTCGCTCCCGCCAGCGACCATGGCGACCCACAAGCTGGTCCTCCTCTGAGCACCCTCACCAACCAGCTCTCTCTACATCACGCTTGTAACCACACTGCCATTTCCCAGCACCAAGCTGCACTGTACATCCAATACATTATGTATACAGAGAGCACATTGTGAGTTTCCTTTCTCCATCCCATCCTGAGTGTGAACCAAACATCACGTACCCCACAAATGGTGACCCCCGGAGAATCGCACTCACACAGGATGGAGGAAAAACTGATCACTCCCCCAGTCTTCAAGCAACATGGAAGACTGGCTTATCCACACAGAGGCAGCTCTCATCGGCTCTACAGCTACTGTCTCTACACAGCAGGTTACACACCCTAGAGCAGCACTGCTTCTCTAAGCAGACACCAGCTCCTCTTCCTGCCCCAAGCACCACGTCCTACCGACCCCAAGCACCACGTCCTACCGACCCCAGCACACCCGTCCTGCCTCAGACGCCACCCCCGGCCCAGCAGTACCCCCTGCCACTGTCCTGGACCCTCCTCCGCTCCTGCCTGGCAGCCCCTGCTCCCGACGCGGCCCATGCGCCTGAGTGCGACCCACACACCCCTCTTTTCTCCCTCAGGTACCCCCTGCTACTGTCCTGCACCCTGCACCCAGCAGGCGCATCTGAGGACTCTGTACCTGTCGCGAGGGAAGCACAACATTCATCGCCTCCACAACCCTCCTTCTCCCTCTTTTCTCCCACAAATCTCGTGTATCTAGACAGAGTTGCCCCCCCTAGCAGCTGGCTCATCCACGCCCTCGCCGTTATGTCTCACATGTGGCATGCACCGCCTGTTCTGCCTCACATGTGCCATGCAACCCTGCAGACAACAAGTCTCCTACACTGCCTGGAGGGAACGGGGAGTATTGTAGTGGATTCCTTCCCTACAAACGCTTGTCACTGAGTAGCCGACCCCGCGAATTCCCCAGTGTAGGTCTAGGTCAACCAGCGCCGCCTTACATGATGGAGGTCAACTATTAAGCCACGCCTACCACCGCTATATAAGACCTGACCTCGTGGTGACCTACCTCTCTTTCTACCTACAGCCAGTCCTCAAGCAACACCTTGTAGTGGACGTCTCCCCTACAACTGCGTATCCGCATTCCAATGTCACCGTATCCTAGCAACCGAGCCAAAGACCGGTTACTTCTCGGGTTTTCCCAACGTGACTCACGCTTGACTCACGGCTGCTGGGTATATAAGCTCTGTCTCTCCATTGAGATTCATTCTAGCCACTCTTCTTGAACAAGCAACACCTCCACCTCCGCCGCTGCCTGGCGGCCCTCGCTTCTCCTCGCCTGCCTGGCGGTCCTTGCTCCCGCCACCGAGCATGGCGACCCACCAGCTGCCCTTCTCTGAGCTTCCTCACCAACCAGCTTATTCATTCTAGCCTATCTTCTACAACACGCAACACCTCCTCCGCCGCTGCCTGGCGGCCCTCGCATCTCCTCGCCTGCCTGGCAGTCCTCGCTCCCGCCACCGAGCATGGCGACCCACCAGCTGTCCTTCTCTGAGCTTCCTCACCAACCAGCTTTCTCATTCTGGTCTCTCTTCTTAAACAAGCAACACCTCCTCCAGCAAGCTCCACGCTGTCAGCATTCATTCAACCAGGAGGCCAGCAACAGGCAACATCTTCTCTAACGAAGCTCCTGCACATCTACCTCCTTCAACACGCTACTCACCGAAAGTCTCTACTGAGCAGCTCCTCACCACACGGCACCTCCAGCACCAGACTGTCTATCATATAACTTATATTATACAAGAAATCCACCTTAGAGTTTCCATCCATCCTGAGTGCTAGACAACATTATACCACGAATTCCTACAACCTCCTCCTCCTCGTCCTGCCTGGCGGCCCTCGCTCCCGCCAGCGACCATGGCGACCCACAAGCTGGTCCTCCTTTGAGCACCCTTACCAACCAGCTCTCTCTACATCACGCTTGTAACCACGCTGCCATTTCCCAGCACCAAGCTGCACTGTACATCCAATACAATATGTATACAGAGAGCACATTGTGAGTTTCCTTTCTCCATCCCATCCTGAGTGTGAACCAACATCTCGTACCCTACAGTATTATGTAACATTTAGTATCATCTGGAATAGTACAATAGCATGGTGGTAATCAGTACATCTCATAATGTTACCACGGTTATCACTTCAATATTCATTTATTTTATTATTTATTATTTTTATTTTTTATTTATGTTTTTATTTATTTATATATACAGTACATACATATATATATATATATATATATATATATATATATATATATATATATATATATATATATATATATATATATATATATATATATATATATATATATATATATATATATATATACACACACACACACACACAAATTTCCTTTGTAGTTTGTGTTTTTTCTTTTATCATTATCTTAATTTCGCTTGTGATATAGGGTTTGGAAATGGATACAGTTTTCACTGACTTAGTCTTGAGCGGGAAACATTTATCAAAGCAAGCATTGAAGATGCAAGAGAAGTTACAGCTGCTCACGTTAGGGTTGTTGGAGGCAAAGACAAGATCCCAGTTAGCATTCATTAGATTATTTAAAAAAAGGAGCATGTTGTCTGTGCCGTAGTCTCTGTATTGAATTGAGACTCTACTAGACCTTTCAGGTCTTGTGGCTGTTTTATACATGGCAAAAACTGGGAACGGGGAAGGGTGTACATTACATGGGTTATATCCAGGGAGAGGGTTGTGGAAGAAAGAGCGCTGACACAGAGCCAGGGGGGCAGCAGCACACCCTCCACCCGCTCTACCTCCCAGCCAGGAGGAGGCACCAGCTCTACCTCCCAGCCAGGAGGAGGCACCAGCTCTACCTCCCATCCAGGAGGAGGCACAGCTCTACCTCCCATCCAGGAGGAGGCACCAGTTCTACCTCCCACTCCGGGGGAGGCGAGTGCCATGTAAACAATGACATTTCTAACCACACCCTGCAAAATACTGTGTACTGATGCAGCTTCTGAGAATGGAAGAGGGCCAGAATTACTACCAAGAGCAGAGACGTTACCGAGGAAATCTCCGGCTTGAATGTCATGTACACTAATACTGACACGTTCCTTGATAATAATAGAGAGGAGTTTGAAACACGACTGAAGGTACACCAACCCGATATAGTAGCAGCTGTAAAATTGTTGTACAAGAACAAGAGAATCGACCCAGAGGAATGTGGGTTCAGTATTGACGGATATGACTTATTTGCGAAAACTTTCTCAAGAAACTTGCAAGAGGGGTGTGGTTATCTATGCTATGCAAGACCTTAGAGCCAGTCAGGTGAGGGTCCAGGGAGAGGACGTTTTTGAAGAATCCAAGTGGTGTAAAATTAAATTAAAGGGAGGGAACTTACTTATTGTCGGGTGTATCTACAGATCCCCAAACTGTAGCTTATTAAATCATAGGAATTTAGGAGCCTTAATAGTGTGAGCTCTTTCAAGACCAGACTTGACAAGCATTGGAGCAGCTTCAGATACATTCAGGAGCCGGTGCATGCCCAGTACTTGCCAACAGCGCGTAACAGAGACGTGACCGATCGCCCAAGCGGCTAACAAGTAGATCAGTGGTAAAGAGGATAAAAGTATACATTCAAGACGTGGGTTGGGTCAAATGATGAGCAGGACAGGAGGGTGTATGCAAGAGCCAGAAACCAAGCAAAGATAGAATGTAGAAGGGCTGAAAAGGAGTTCCAGAGGCTGGTTGCAAGCGAGGTCAAGTCAAACCCAAAGGCGTTTTACCGCAAAGCAAAGTCGAAATTAAAAACGCGAGTAGGGGTATCAGACCTCAGGCTTGAAGATGGTAGTTACGCAGATTCTGACCAGGATAAAGCTGAGGCATTGAACAGCTTCTTTTCCTCGATGTTGACAAGATTGGATGCGATTAACCTTCCTGCGTTTGAGGACAGACGGTTCGACACAGCACTGACCCACATTGTGTTCACAGAAGAGGGTATTAGAAATAACCTGTCAAAGCTAAAGGTCCATAAGAGTCCCGGCCCTGACATGGTGCATCCTAAAATGCTAAAAGAGTTAAGCAACGAGCTTGCCGAGCCCCTGAAGATTCTGTTTTGTAAATTGCTTGGATGAACGAAAGGTCCCCAGTGAATGGAAATTGGCTTATGTGAGCCCTATCTTCAAGAAGGGCGATCGTCACTCCACGAACAACTATAGGCCGGTGAGCCTGACCAGCATAATATGTAAAGTACTTGAGAGTATAATCAGAGATGCAGCGATGGAACATCTACTACGAAACAACCTTGTAAAGGATTGCCAACACTGTTTTATGCCGTGGCGCTCCTGCTTAACACAATTGCTCAAGGTATTGAATATTTGGACCCATATTCTGGAACGGGGTGGTAATATCGACAATATTTACCTAGATTTTGCCAAGGCTTTCGACAGTGTACCCCACGAAAGGCTGAAAATCAATCTGGAAGTGTACGGAATTCGAGGAATGTCCTACCGTGGATAGAAGACTTTCTACATGACCGCAAGCAGTGTGTGGTGATTAATGGCACGAAATCATCATCCGTACCTGTCACAAGTGGGGTACCACTGGGCAGTGTATTGGGCCCGCTGTTGTTTGTTTGTTTCATAAATGACATGCCTGACGTTGTACACTCCTCCATACAAATGTTTGCCGATGACGCCAAGTTATTTCGGGAAATCAAGAACCAAGCGGACTGTGAAGAGCTGCAGAAGGACCTCTGTGGGCTCCAGGAATGGTCGAAGAAATGGCTGCTGAGATTCAATGTCACGAAGTGTAAGAGGATGCACCTGGGGCGTACCAACGGTAAGGAGGCGTATCATATGCTCCAACGGGATGAAGAAACTGCACTATTTGAGACTGAATGTGAGAAGGACCAAGGTGTGTATGTTGACAAAGAACTGAAGTTCTCGGGCCATTGCGAGAAGAAGGTAAATCAGGCAAATAAATTATTGGGTCTTATAAGAAGGTCGTTCAGATATCTAGACAGTCCGTCCCTCGTAACGATCTTCAGGAGTGAAGTGCTTCCCATCTGGAGTACTATCACCCCGTCTGGTCCCCGAGATATGCTAGGGACTGTCAGTTGGTTGAAAATGTTCAAAGGAGGGCCACCAGACTGGTGCCTGCCCTTCTGCACCTTAGCTACCCTGAGAGATTGAAGCGCCTGAACTTGCCACTTGCCTATCTTATACTACAGACGGGCAAGGGGTGACCTAATAGAGGTGTATAAGCATCTCAAGGGGCGCTTCTCAGTCGAGTGTCCTAACTTGGAACTGGCGGACGCTCGCCCCACAAGGGGTCACAGCTCAAGATTGAAGAAGCCGCAAGTCCAGAAAACTGTGAGGGCAAACTTTTTCGGAGTGAGAGTTGTGAACTCTTGGAACTATCTACCAGAGAGTGTTGTGACGGCACCGAGTGTGAGCTTTCAAGACAAGACTTTACCAACACTGGAGCAGGTTCAGATACATTCAGGAGCCGGTGCATGCCCAGTACGTGCCAACAGTGCGTAACAGAGACGTGATCGATCGTCCAAGTGGCTAACGAGCCGATCAGTGGTGAAGAGGATAAAAGTAAAAAGTAAAAGTCTCAATGCCAGAACGACCACAGGGGGTAATAGAAAAGGAGGATAGGTGGACTAGATTTTTAAAACTTCCATATGTTTATTAGAAAAAGTCTTCCATGATTATTTTCCAATTTTAAACTTGAGTGTTTCTTATATTTACTAAGTTGTATTAAATGATGTGTGTAATTCGCTTCTGAAGATGTGTTAAATTCACGAAAGTACTTGGGCAAATTTGTGTTTTCTTTTTCCAGGTGGTTATATCCAGGGTATATATATATTATTTTTTAAATTAGTTTTCTATTGGTGTTATGGTCATTTTTTGTTATTCAGATATCAGGATGTTAGTACAGATTCAGCTGTAAGGTTCAGGGTGATAATGATAATCATATATATAAACTGATAGATTTACTTAAACATTAATAACAAAAGACATTTTAGGAAAGTATTATAAACTCTCTTAAGTCTTTAACAACCTCAAATAACTTGTGAACTATCTCACTGTTGAGCAGTTTTAATTATTGGCAAACTTTGTGCGTCTGTGAGAAGTGGTGGTTCTTCAGTGATTCTTAACCTTTTTAGTGCCCACGTCCTTAGAGTTCTCATAATATTTTATTGAACCCCTTGTGAAAATCAAGTCTTAGAATAAGAATTAGAGTATTACATTCATAACACTTTTTCATTTTCACAGAATAACCACAAATAGAGATGAAATGACACTACACATTTATTAGTGGATAAGAACTTATTTTTATTCAATGATACAGCCAATCATGCATAGTATTTGCTTAAAAATCACTAAGTAAGTTACAGTGCCATTACATAACTTTATTAGAGGCGTACAACCATAATACACACTAACACAGTCTTAGTTAGTTAGTGGCTCTTTTGTTCTTGTTTTTGATTGATGATCTTCATGATGAGAGGTTCTCTCTCTGAAACGGCCACACGCATGTCATCACTTGTATCCAGACGGTGTTCGTTTTGATGTGTAGGAGCGTTGATAAAGCTGCCTCACACAAGTAGGTGATCGCAAATGGTACGAGGACCTCTAGAGCTCTCTTCACCAACAGTAGACACGTTCTGAGCTAAGCACACTAGAAGATGCCTAGCTGCATTACTTCAAACACCATTCGAATTTTATATTTTGACTTCAGCTCAACAAATCATCTTTCATCATAACACTGTCATCCATGGAATCCAGAATAAAAGAAATGGATCCCTCTGTGCCAAAGAAACCTCTCCATGGTAAAAATAACCTTGGAAGGACTGAATCGTGAAACATAGTGTACATACAGTATTATGAGTAACTTTGTAAATATGTAAGTGAAACCGCCAGCATGCGTCACACCCTCAAGGGGTCCACAAACACTAGGTTAAGAATCATTGTTCTGTTTTACACGCATATTATAGCAGATTATAGATAGATAGGTGGAGTAATGGCGTATCTGTAACAAAAGTCATGACATACAGAGAAATAGATAAATATTCAGATTGATAGATATACCGATAGGTTAGGTTAGGTTCTAGCCATACACCCCTTACAAACTGGGGTGTATGGCAGCCATCAAACAGGGAGATACTACTGCCTGGGAAGATATTGGAAGCATAATGTATTTTCTAATGGTAGACCCTGCTGCCATATGGCATCACGAAAATTGTGACCAAGTCCCAGGTTGCTGATCTGACTTTCTGCCTCATTTACACACAATTGCAGGGTCTCAATTGTTTCTCTTAATTTGTCAACACAACATACATATATTGTTTCTCACTATTGATCATTTTTTACATTTTTGTATTGATTTATTATTATTATTATTATTATTATTATTATATTATAATAGATTTTTATTTAATATTTATTATAATTTTTTATTAATTTTTATTCATTATTATTATTTATTATTAATATTATTATTAGTAGTAGTATTATATTTTGGCCCCACAGGGCCTAATGTGGTTCATTGACCTGTGCTCTGGTGGGCTAATCCCGAAAAAAAGCTAGTAAACTCACTTAGCCACGCTCATGTAGGTGCAGAGCATCATACTGTATATACTGTATATATATATGCAAGTAAATCACTGTGCTGCAGTGAGTACAGACTAGTCTGTACTCACCCCTGAAGATGTGAATTACACGAAAGTGTGTTTTCTTCTTTCCTTGTGGTTATCAGCATATACCTAGATCACGCGCACTACATGATATATATATATATATATATATATATATATATATATATATATATATATATATATATATATATATATATATATATATATATATATATATATATATAACAAGAATACACAAGTAATAGATGGATAGACAAGTAGATAGATTGTTAAATAGAAAGTTAGATAGATATATAGATATACAGGTAGGTAAACTGAGAGATTGATAAACTGACATATACAGAGATAGACAGGTAGATCAATAGATAAACAGGTAGATAAATAGACAGAAAGGAAGATAACTAAATAGATTTATTGATAGATAGATAGACTAGTTACCGCCATACAAGACACTATCAATAAAGTCAATATGGTCGGCGACGTTGGTGTAGATGCCGGGCATGACAGACTCCTTCTTGCAGGCTCCTGTGAAGCTGACGATCCCGACTAGGTAACGATGACCTTGTCCGTCATCCAGGTACAGCGGCCCTCCCTCGTCACCCTGCAGAGGCACCCCATCAGTTAGTGGCAGAGAGAGAGAGAGAGAGTATCATATAAGTTATATGTATAATGGTTCATGTACGCCTTCCTTCCTGGGTATTACACTCACCTTACATGCCCCCCTGCCTGGGTATCCAGCACATATGACCTTGCTGCCATTTAACAAGTTAGGGTAAGCTTGTTTGAGGTGTGGCAAGAGTCCCGCTTCCTGGTACTGTTTCTCACACTCAGCTAACGCCATCACCTCCACCTCCACCTCTTGTAACACGGGCGACTGATGAGCTGAAACACAGACACTGTTAACACTTGGACGCTTGGGCCTCTTGTAACTCGGGCGACTGATAAGTTGATATGTACTGACCACGGTCATACATGTTAGGTAACTTAAAATCAGACAATTCATATTACGCTGCATGGTTCATGTGTAGGGATCCCCTCGTATTCCTAGAAGCACTGGGTTTGGTCTTGGGTATATATTTATCGATCAAATGGGTCACTTTACTAGTAATGATATTCAGCGTAGTGTCTGCGTTCTTGTACCTTAATAAGTCAGGTCAGTTGATACCCCTCATCTGTTCCCTCATCCCATTGTAATTTCCCTTGTAATATTTGCACCTTGGCCTGGCCTTATCCTGAACTAGGTAACAGTTAAATCTGAATGACAACACTATATGGTGACTGGTGCCAACTGGGGCCAAGGTGTTCCAGTTTGGCCACCATACCCTCCTCGTTTGTTATGATGAGGTCTAGTGGCTTGGGTGTTTGCTCCCCTCTGTTATGTGTCGGGTCTCTAACATGTTGGAACAGAAAATTATCTCTCAGAGTTTCTACAAAAGAGTAGCAGGGTTATTCAAGTCATTCGGGGTGGACTCGTTTCTCCAGTCGATGTCCCCATAGTTAAAGTCCCCCATAATAAGGAGGTGGCTAGGGTTGAGCATCGCCGTGTTGTTTATTAACGTTCTTAAGTTCCTTTGATTTAGTGGGCCACAGTTTGGGGATCTGTAGATACACCCGACGATAAGTAAGTCCCCTCCCTTTAATTTAATTTTACACCAATTGGACTCTTCAAAAACATCCTCTCCCTGTACCCTCGCCTGGCTGGCTCTAAAGTCTTGCCTAGCGTAGATAACCACACCCCTCTTGCAAGGTCCTTGTCTAGAAATTCGCTTATGTTGGGAGAACTAGTGTTATCAACGTTTGTATTTCCACTTTTTCCTGGCAAGCTCAATCTCTGATTAGATTATATGAATAGACATAGGAAATTTCCCTGATTAGGAACACTGAAGTTCATAATTAAGTATACAGCGATCCAAAATGGTAGGGAAGGTCTGTTGTAAGTGAGATCAACCTTTCTGGTATGAATGTGGGGAACCGAGTTGCCCAGCGGGCGCACGTATATACCACTAAACGAGGGAGAATCACGCATTCGTGACTCTCCCTCATCGTATCTCCAGGCATGTTAACCAGTGTTCCACACCGCCATATTAATTCAGTTTAACTTAGTCAATTTTGTGAATATCAGTGTTCATGTTGTAACAGTGAAATTGTCATTTACCCAGTGAAAGGATCAATATAAAGCAAGTGTGGTCTGGATCGTTACCAGATGTATGCTTTGTATACAGTAGTTGAAGTCAGGCATTTACGCATTCGTGACTCTCCCTCATCGTATCTCCAGTGTGTTGAGCTGAATACTCATCGGCTACCGTGGGTCGGTAGCCGTGTTGGACGATGCCGTTAATTCGACAGGATTAAACTGGGAAGTCTGTTTCCTGCAAATAAGGCGCCAGCTCCCTTGGCGTGTGTCAGTCTACAACCCACCCCTAACAGGGATCTTCATTTGTTGTAGAGATACCAGTGTTACCCTGGGGCACTCCTTACAGTTATATGGGCCTAAGTATTATTGTTATTGTATATGATTGGTGATAATATATGATTGGTGATGAATAACAGGTTGAGTAGTGATCCCATAACAATTGATGGTATCAGTAAATATGTTGTGTGAGTTGAGTACATCAATTGAGGGAGAAATACCATGTTCTGCATTCCGAAATAGCGTGTTGTTATAAATAGTATTTTAATTCGGGATATTGTCGAAGTGTGTCATACAGCCATCTGTAGTGACAATGACATAATATAATGATTGTTTAATGATGCAATAAGTAATTGAAGTTGTTTAATGAATTAATAAGTAATTGTGGATCTATTTTATCAATGGTAGAGTAAGACCTGAGTGTCCAATCTTGTCTGAGTGAACTTAATAGTTGTTTAATCATATAATAAGTAATGGGAGTTGTTTAATGACGTCATAAGTAATTGAAGTTGTTTAATGATATAATAAGTAACTGAAGCCCTGTCTTATGAATGATAAAGTGGGACCTGAGTGGTCCAGTCAGGGGTGAGTGTACTTGATTAACATATTGTTCACTCCTTGTGTTAATACATGTTGAATTGGTAGACTACGAGTATCACCACTCTATCCTTTCCCACACTGGTTCTCAGAAAATAACTAACTCACGTGCCTAGAAGCTCGCTACCTAACAGTTAACTAAGATATGTTATAATCTAATAAAAAGTCTGGGTGGTGGCAGGTTACCGTTGTAAGTATAATAAGTGTGGCAATAAGAAAGACATGGTTCCCAGACTAATCCATGGTTTAGAATATAACTAGAACAAAATATATGGAAGAGAATATAATATATATGAAAGAAATGAAAGACTTGGAAACTATAGCAGAGAAATATCAGAAGTACTTATATAAGAATTCTAAATAAAGAATTGAAGAAGGATAACTCTATAAAACAGGATACTCATTGAAAAGAAGGCTACAAAGAACATATAAGTATAGCAATAAATAAGAATACTAACAGAAAAGAATATCTGGATGGTAAATTATAAAGAGAAAGAAACGGCCCGTTACACTAGGGACTGTCAGTTGGTTGAAAATGTTCAAAGGAGGTGCCACCAGACTGGTGCCTGCACTTCGGCACCTCAACTACCCTGAGAGATTGGAGCGCCTTAACTTGCCTAGCTTATACTACAGACGGGCAAGGGGTGACCTAATTGAGGTATATAAGCATCTCAAGGGGCACTACTCAGTCGAGAGTCCTTACTTGGAGCTGGTGGACGCTCGCCCCACAAGGGGTCACAGCTCAAGATTGAAGAAGCCGCAAGTCCAGAAAACTGTGAGGGCAAACTTTTTTGGAATGAGGGTTGTAAACTCTTGGAACAATCTACCAGAAAGTGTTGTGACGGCACCAAGTGTGAGCTCTTTCAAGACAAGACTTGACCAACACTAGAGCGGGTTCAGGTACATTCAGGAGCCGGTGCATTCTGTACCCTTCCAGTTTGATTTTCAGCCTTTCGTGGGGTACACTGTCGAAAGCCTTGGCTATGTTCGTACTTCAGTTTTACCTCTTACAATACGGAAGACTGGTGACCTGACACATAATGATAAACGTGACATGGAAATTATTAGACCTGTATTTTATACCAAAACCTGAAATTGTACTGATGTTTCCTTTTAAACCTAATATGTGTAACTCACAATTGTTTGAGGTAACTCTCAAACGTTCAGAATACCTCAAACTTGTTTTGGGTACCATAAATTACAACTGGTCAGTGTATCTTACAAGGGATCAGGGTATCTCACAAGTGCTCAGGGTAACTCGTAAGTATTTTGGAAAATTCTGAAATTTTTGTGGTAACTTACTAGTACTCGAAAGAGCTCACATGTGCCTGGCTGACTTACTTTCATTAACCAGGCCGAAGCCTGAGCCGATAACTGTGGTTCCTACAGACGGACGCTCGGAGGACACGCAGAAAGGAAACACCACATCGTTGAAGGAGATTTTCTCCACCGTCTTCAGTAAGGCTATGTCGTAGCTCCGCACCGGGGAGTCTGGCCTGTGGACATGGTAGGTTATGGACACTCTGAGGACACAGGGGAGTTTTATCTGTAGATATGGACACTGAGGACACATGGAGTCTAGGCTGTGGATATGGTAGGTTAATGACATGTTGAGGACATAGAGAAATCTGACGTATGGACATAGTAGGTTATGGACATGCTAAGGACACAGGGGAATCAGGCCTATGGACAAGGTAGGTTATACAGTTCAATCAGTTTAACCTTAATTGGAGAAACATTTCTGAAAGCAATAGTTTCAAACTCAATTCAAACTCACCTCGAGATATACATGTTGATTAATAATTCCCAGCATGGCTTCACCAGTGGGCGTTCATGTCTGACAAATCCAATATCATTCTTTTCAACTGTTTCGAATCAGTTGATGACGGATACGATTATGATGTGATTTACCTCGACTTTAGCAAAGCTTTCGACAGGGTCACTTATGGAGGCTCATGGAATTGGTGGGGATATTCTATATAAAATTAGGGCGTGGTTTAAGGCTAGGAAACAGAGAGTCAGTATTAATAGCACTAAATTTGATTGGAGTAACATTAATAGTAGTGTACCCCAGGGCTCATTACTTGGACCATTACTATTTATTATATACGTGAACGGCATAGACATAGCAAGGATTAGACAGTAACACAAGTAAATTTGTTGACAACACTAAAATAGAGTGTGTAATTAAATTTGACGAGGTCTCCGAAAAATTACAGGAATCTCTAAACAAACTTTTCAACTTTTCTCATGTTCTGAAAATGATCAATGTCAATATAAAAAATCTCGCGGTGAGAACAGTTTTGGGGTAATGATAAGTAGGAACTTTAACCCTTTCACCGCGTGTCACGCACTTGCCGTTTAATTCTGGCTACCACCAGACGATTTTATTCAGCATAGGGAAACCTCCCGCTGTGAAAGGGTTAAACCAACACAACAATGCGTAATGTTCGAAACAAGGCTAACAAAGTACTTAGGTTCATACAAAGGAGTATTAATTACAAGACTTGCGAGGTTATCCTTAAACTTTACATCACGTATGTGAGGTCTTACTGTAGTTTATGCAGTTCAGTTTTGGTCAGTGCACTATAGGATGGATATCATGGATATGAAATCCCAGAACACATTCCGAAAAGGATGAGAAAGCTTATCCCCCGGGCATTGCAGAGAGACGGAGTGACGTGATCGAGGTGCATAAATGGAAGTCAGGGTTAAACAAAGATGATATAATAAAAGTACTTATATCTTACCAGGGGTAAACTTGTAGCAATGGTTTCAATTAGACAAATTTAGGTTTAGGCGTTAGATAGGTAAACACTGGTTTGGAAAAAGTTACCAATCATAATTATTAACCTGAACACGCCGGGTAGCTTCAAATATAGGTTGGACAGATATATGAGCGACAGGGGTCGGGTGCAAACGGGGCTTCTCTTGTCTAGTACATATTCCTTAACTGTTAAATATCAAGACTTCTAGGAGAAAGGGCAGAAGAGTGCATGTAAGACCATTCTCTTGCCCTCTGATCAACATCTCGGCCTTATCCTTATAACCCACCATTACCTGTTGCTATACTGACCACAGTTATGCATTTTAGTTAACATAAAATCAAGACGATTCATATTACGCTCATTGGCCCATAAAACATGGAGCTAAAATTTACTGATACGTCAGTTTTCTCTATCGTTCGTTTCAGAATACTAAAAAATCTCATGTGTTGTATTTTTAAAATTACGAATGAATGCGTATGTGTTACTGACTTTCTTAAAAAAAACTGACAACAGTTTCAATACAATCATCATACTCTCTGATGATTGTGAATGAAAACAATCTAACTTTAGTGGTGAATAGATTAGTCGTAATGTCTCACAGGCGGAAAAAGGATTCGTACCTCTATTGCAAACTTTAACACTCATCTCACTTTTTCCGCCTATGAGACATTACGACTAACTTATTCACCACTAAAGTTAGATTGTTTTCATTCACAATCATCAGAGAGTATGATGACTGTATTGAAACTGTTGTATTTTTTTAAAGAAAGTCATTAATCATTTGAGAGAAATCTATCAACAACTCACTTCTCTGAAATTTAGCGGCTGGGCCTTGTTCGTTAAGTTAGTGCATTGCAAACTCAAACACTGATTAGAATGTAATCATTACTTTTTTATTTTACTATTATCCTCTTTACCACTGATCAGCTCGTTAGCCGCTTGGGCAATCGGTCACGTCTCTGTTACTCACTATTGGCAAGTATTGGGCATGTACTGGCTCCTGAATGTATCTGAACCTGCTCCAGTGTTTGCCAAGTCTGGTCTTGAAACAGCTCACACTCGATGCCGTCACAACATTCTCTGGCAGGTTGTTCCAAGAGTTCACAATTCTCGCTATAAAAAAGTTCGCCCTCACAGTATTCTGGACTTCAGGATTCTTCAACCTTGAGCTGTGACCCCTTGTGGGCCGAGCGTCTGCCAGCTCCAGGCATGGACACTCGAAAGTGTAGTGCCCTTTGAGATGTTTATAAACTTCAATTAGGTCACCCCTTGCCCGTCTGTAGTATAAGCTAGGCAGATCTCTTTTGATAGCTGAGGTGCCAAAGTGCAGGCACTAGTCTGGTGGCATTCCTTTGGACATTTTCAGTTAACTGACAATCCCTAGTATATCTCGGGGACCAAACTGGGTGAAAGTACTCCAGGCCGGGAAGCACCTTACTCTTGAAGATCGTTACGAGGGACGGACTGTCTAGTATCTGAACGACCTTCTTATAAGACCTAATAATTTAGTTGCTTGATTCACCTTCTTCTTTCACTGGCCTGAGAACTTCAGTTCATTGTCAACATACACACCAAGGTTCTTTTCGTTTTCAGTCTCTAGTAACGCAGTTTCTTCGTCCCGTTGGGACATATGTTACGCCTCCTTACACTTCGTGACATTGAATCTTAGCAGCCATTACTTCGACCATTCTTGAAGCTTACAGAGATTTTTCTGCAGCTCTTCACAGTCTGTTTGGTTCTAAATTTTCCTAAATAACTTGACAGCGTCCGTAAACATTTGTATGAGGAGTGTACAGCTTGTGGCATGTCATTTATTAAACAAACAAACAATAATGGGCCCAATACAGTCCTGTGGTACCCCGCTTGTCACAGTGTACACATGACGATTTCGTATCATCAATCACCATACACTGCTTGCGATCATGCAGAAAGTCTCCGATCCACGCGAGGACACTTCCCCGAATCCCGTACCCTTCCAGTTTAATTTTCAGCCTTTCATGGAGCACGCTGTCGAAAGTCTTGACAAAAGCTAGGGATATGTTGTCGATATTGCCACCCTGTTCCAGAATTTGGGTCCAAACATCCAGTACCTTGAGTAATTGTGTTAAGCAGGAGTGTCCCATCAAACCGTGTTGGCAATCCTTTACAAGGTTGTTTCGTAGTAAATGTTCCATCACGGCATCTCTTATAATGCTCTCAAGTGCTTTACACACAAGGCTGGTCAGGCTCATTGGTCTATAATTATTCGTGGGGTGACGATCACCATTCTTGAAAATAGGACTCAGATAAGCCATTTTCCATTCACTGGTATTTAGAGAACAGGATCTTCAGGGGCTAAGCAAGCTCGTTGCACAAAAAATTAGCAAGTAAATCAGAAAATAAGAGAAACATAACCAAGGAAATTAAAAAAGGTTTTATAAGAGTAGCGACCGAAAAGAAATAGAAATCAATAATTAAAAACAGTAAACATCTTAGAAATGTTACCAACTGATGGAATCATTATTATAACTTCTCCCCCTTACACAGGTTAGCAGTGGAGATAATTCTCACCGTGCATTACAATGCAGGGCAGTACCAGCAACAGCCTTCTTGCTTTACCGCATTCTGCATCGTCCTAAAAGTTGATGCGGTCAGGCACATGCAATTCATCCTAGACGCCGTCCCCTTGCAGTAATTGCATGTTAGCAAACTACTTAGTGACCCTGGGGTTTTAACCTCCGACTCCTCACGTCTATACATGTTCTGTTACAAAGTGTCTTCTTCCTCTTACGTACTTACACCTTGACAGCTGTCGCCATTGACAATCGGGGTGGCTAGTGTGGAGGACGTCTAGACTCTGTAAGAATCTTCTTAGCCTGAAGCCCAGTTTACGATGTGATATAATTCAAACTGTCGGTTGTTTAATAATAATAATAATAATATAATAATAATAATAATAATAATAATAAAACTTATTATTACTATGATAATTTATTTTGTGCGCTTGTGTCAAGGCTTACGTGTCAAGGACCTTTTAAAGCCCACGGCTCAGCTGCGTCCCTACAGTAGGCCTCATGTCTGGGAGGGGGGTGGTGATGCTAGCTTTCGTAATAAAACGTCTATTATCCTGTGTCTCTACTATACACGGTCACAGTGTTTAATATAGATAGCTAGAATTTGGTTGCGTATGTAAATAACCGCGATAATGCTCACAAACGTCAAAATAGGGGAGAAGGGAGGGGGGATTGGTCGATCTCGGACAAACCACCATGTAAAATTGGACTCCACATGTGATCGACCACAATTTTTAGCGTAGAGCTGAATTTTCGAATGGTTATTTTTTGCGTGTGCACTGAAATCCAAGGGATGGGCCCCTGCGAGGTCCAACCACTTGAACAGTATCTTGTGTGTGTGTGTGTGTGTGTGTGTGTGGTGAAGAGGAAGGCAACTTGCATATGTCCTCTTCACCACCAAGACTCCTGCTGTGCCTCCTCGTGGCAACACACGTTAACTGGGTGCCTTGTGGGCCCAGACTAGACCAGCAGGGGATCTCGGAGCAGGAGTGGGACCGAGAGGGATGGTGAATAGGCCCACTAGCATATGGACACATCCTGGCACCTACCAACCACTGCCCTGCTGCCTTGCGGATTATCCTTGGTAAGTACAAAGCTACGGGAGTAAATCCCAAAAGAAAAATCTGCGGTGGAGCCCCGCATCAGGCAGACATGCTTACAGAGCTACAACAAGAGCCCAACGGTGGTAAAGGTGGAAGAGGTGACCCACATGGGAACCCAACAACTCCACTGGCGGATGACGGCAATGCAAGATGGGTAGGCTACTAAGGCGAAACCCAACAAATTGGGCTATCGACAGTCCACTGCAACTCTCCCTCTGGACAGTTGTTGCAAAACTCACGTGCAGCCATCATCCTGCTCATCATAACTATTATCATCAGAACCCCTATACCCCCAAAAGTCCCATGGCGACGGACGATAGGTGACGGGGACAGGAACAGATGACTGCCGGGAGTCTCTAGTCACAACTCTGCACATGGGTTTATGCACTAGGATCTAAGCAGCATGGCAATCCGTTCCTGTCTGTGCGGCTGGGCAGTCCTTTCAAGGAGCCACTCTGCTAACCCAACATGGGACGGGGCTAGAAAAGGTGCCCTAAACATAGCCTGCCTAAAGAACCAACCTGATTGATCAACCGCACCCAGTAAGGTCATCCTTATGCAGTCGAAAATACAGTAATAATCACAAATCAAACCAAAAACAAACCGTACAACCTCTTATGGTCGCTGCTGAAATGTCAGGAACCTTCTGGATACTGACACAAATGAGCATTCTGAAAGAAGAACTGCCCTTGTGGCAAAAGAGCTGGCTAGGTATAACATAGACATAGCAGCCATTAGTGAGTCCCGGCTCCCAGACGAGGGTCAACTCACAGGATGGGGGTCTGGCTATACCTTCTTCTGGAAGGGTAAGCCTTCTGTGGAGAGAAATGGCATTTATGGAGTTGGCTTTGCCATTCGCCAATTCATCCTACATAGGCTAACTTAAATGCTTGTTGGGAACAACGAGTCCCACTGAATCACACACATCATGCATTCTTCATTAGTGCATACGCCCCAACACTGGATGCAAAGGATGACATCAAGGAGACCTTTTATGCCGACCTCGACCGAGCGCTAACCTCTATCCCCAGAGAAGATAAGGTTGTGCTCCTTGGTGACTTCAATGCCAGAGTAGGCAGAGATGCTGACATATGACAGGGAATCATAGGGAGAATTGGACCAGCCAAGTGTAATCCCAACGGCCTACTCCACCCGAGCAAGTGTGCTGCACACAACATCACTATCACCATTACCTTGTTTAGGCAGGCAGACAAGTTCAAGGGTTCGTGACAACACCCACGATCCAAACACTGGCATCTCATTGACTACATCATGGCTTAGACCATTGTGACACTGATCATTGCCTCGTCAGAGCCAGGCTCTCACTTCACGTCGCCCCAAAAAGACGAAGGCAACAAGCCTCCAAAAGAGGTTTTAACACTAAGCGTCTGGAGGATCGAGCAGTAGCACAGGCCCTCAGAGAGTAGCTCGAACATGGGCTGATAAACAGTCCGACAACAAACAACCCAAATCCCAGTGCCGAATGGGATATTCTCAACACTGTCATGACAAAAACCTGCAGATAGCTCCTCGGCCAGATCGAAAGAGTACACCAGGACTCGTTTGATGAAAATGGCCCGGAAATCAACATACTCGTCGATGATAAACGTGATGCTTTAACTGACTGGCATAACAACCCTCAGTCTTGGACAAAGCTAATACATTCCACAAGAAGAAAGTGACGACCCAGCACGAACTTTGAAATCTAAAGAACGAATGGTTAAATATAAAGCATGTGGAATGCAAAAACTTGCAGATCAACACAAGATGTGTAAATTTTTCAATTTCACTAAATCATTTTATGGCCCAACTACTCATGGCGTGGCCCCTTACCGCTTATCCGACAGTAACTCCCTAATTAAAGATGAAGAAAACATTCGTCAGTACTGGAAAGAGCACTACCATTTGATGCTCAACCAAAACCCGATGTGGATGTCATGACTACCCAACAGGTTCCTCAGCATCCAGAGCTGACCCACCTCAGCTATCTTCCATCCCTGGATGAGGTAGCTACTGCTATCAAACAGATGAATAATAACAAAGCCTCAGGGACAGATGGAATCCCAGCCAAGGTGTATAAAGCAGGGGGACCTCTTCTTATCAGCCGTCTTCACTCTCTCCTGGAGAATATAAGGGAAAAGGTGAGAATCCCCTAAGCTCTTAAAGACTGCTCCATCATCAATATTTGTAAAAACAAGCGAGACCGGTCAAACTGTGGCAACTAGAGAGGAATATCGCTGCTGTCCATAGCTGGCAAGATTATCCCCCGAGTCCTCTTAAACAGACTTTTTCCTGAGGCAATAGACTTCCTGCCAGAATCTCAATGTGGATTTAGACCATCACGTGACACAACTGACATGATCTTTGCTGCCCACCATATTACAGTAAAAAGTGCAGAGAACATCGCCATTGTGGGGCAACTCCACGATGTCATGAAGATCAGTGTCCTACACAATGACATCTAGTCTGAGTTCTTCCCCATCCAAACAGAGGTTAAACAAGGGTGTGTACTGGCGCCAACTCCCTTTTCCATTTTCTTGGCTGCCTTCCTTACTTGTGCCAGTGTCAATTTAGCCAGCGGGGTGGACATAATGTACCAGATGAAGGGTCTTTTTAATATAAGACGACTCCAGGCAGGAAGAAAGGTGTCGGCAGCTTTCATTACTGAATTTCAGCACGAAGTCAACTCCACCCTTGTCGCTCACACTGAACGCAACCTACAGGAGATCATAAACATCTATGCAGATGCGTATGAGCAATTCGGCCTTGAGGTGAATGTACATAAGACTCAGATTCTCTTTCAGCCTGCTCCTAGTTCAGCCACACCTCCACCATCCATCGAGCTTAACGGTACTACCCTCTCTAATGTTACCCACTTTCAGTATCTCGACTCCCAGCTGTTCACCACCGGGGGCATCGATGAAGTGATTCAACATCGGATCAAATGTGCATCTCAGGCCTTTGGCAGACTCCGTACCCATGTCTCCAGCTGTAGGGAGCTGACATTATTTACAAAGTTATACATTTATCGAGCAGTGGTCCTCCCCACCCGGCTATATGGCAGTGAGACCTGGGTCACATACAGGAGGCACTTCAAGGCACTTGAAAACTTCCACCAACGTAGTCTACGTTTCATCCTCCGAGTTTGCTGGGAAGACAAGAGAATAAATTACAGTATTCTTGTTGACACCTACTGTAGGAGCATCGAGGCTGCCATTATCCATGAACAACCACGTTAGACTGGCTGTATTACTCGCATGGATGACAGTAGACTGCCAAAGCAGCTACTTTACAATCACCTAACGAATAGTGAACGTAACGCTGGCGGGCAACTGAAAAGGTATAAGGATAGTCTTAAGACAAACTTGAAAAAGTGCCAAATCGACCCCCTCACCTGAGAGATGATCACTCCACACTGTAACGCTTGGAGGAGCACCACACGAGAAGGTGTCAATACTTTCGAGTTAGCCCGACTGCATACTGAGGCAGACAAGCGCCAACGCCGGAAATAAGCTGCCGCTTCCCCTCTCGCACTAGATGCAGTCCTCTACACGTCATATCTGTGGACGGCCCTGCCGGTCCCATATCGGCCTCTTGAGCCACTCAGAGCTCACCAATGATGGTGACGTCCTTAATAACTCATATCATTGCATCATAGCTGTATGATCGTCACACTTGATTCCGAGTGACAGCAAAGTAGTAGTAGTAGTAGTAGTAGTGTGTGTGTGTGTGTGTGTGTGTTTTGGCTTAGCCACTTTTTAAGACAAAGAGCTGAATTATGAAACGTTATATAATTGAAATATACTGTAGTACGGGAATGTTAACCCGGGCAACGCCGGGTACCCGAGCTAGTGATATGTACTGTACCACTTATGCCTCTGTACAGTTTGAGCTTATGTGTATGGTATATTTTTAATAAATCATTATTTATTATACTTATTATTAAGACAAATATACAAATAAAATAAAATATTTAACTTATTGTCGGTATGAAAATATCCCCCCCCACACACACACATAATAGGACTTACTGGTAGTCAGGATGGACAATAATCTGCTCAATTTGGTAGTCTCGCGGACGAGCGTTGGTCTCATTGTCTTTTGAGAAGTCCAGTTCTCCCAGCCTTACTGTGCTGATTCTGTGAGAGAAAGAGTGAGATAAATCCAGGTCTCGTCGCCTGTTGAATAAAGAGAGAGAGAAAGAGAGAGAGAGAGAGAGAGAGAGATGCAGAACTTTGACACTGAGTTAAAGAAGTTGAAGACACAAGAACCTGGCTGAAACTGACTCAAGAACTGATGTTTAATCTTTATAATTAAATATGTGATAATTCTAGTTTAGACGATAATAATTCTTTGTACTTAAAGTTTTATTCAAGACTTAAAATAATACTCTGAACTCATTAAAAATTTGGGACTTATGGTATTTTGATTGGCTAAAAATAACGGGAATTGGATTAATTATCGAAGGCTTCCAGAAACATTTTTAAATCCGAGAATTTTCTGAATTTACCGAAATAGTCTGGATTTACAGTTTTATATTTACGCAAATCTCCCCGGACTTGATAATTTTTGGATTAACAAATAATTTTAGAAGTAAGCTTTGGACTTACGGGTGGACAGGATCGAAGACACAGAAAGCGGCCGTCAACAAGTAGCGGTCAGAGATGGGTGTCGCTCCGCAGAAGGTGTCCTGGACGCTCAGATCTGTTAAAGAAAGTCTTATATGAGAGAGAGAGAGAGAGAGAGAGAGAGAGAGAGAGAGAGAGAGAGAGAGAGAGAGAGAGAGTAGCATTTCCTTATCACAAACCACTTTTGCATGTTATTATTACCATAATTTATATATTACCATTAACTAATCCTATTAATAATAATAATAATATGTAATTTATTATTATTATGAAAGGTCTAATACAATTACTACTTACAAGCAAAAGTATAAAAAAAAAGTTAAAAATAGCACCTGATAACTGGACTTGGGGGTGAAGCGATGACTCCTGAAAGAAAAAAATAACATTAACCATAGTCTGGTGTAGTGTGTGTGTGTGTGTGTGTGTGTGTGTGTGTGTGTGTGTGTGTGTGTGTGTGTGGTCAAGTTCTGGGATAACCGTAGCTAGTTTGGTGCGGGCTGGCCTTGGATTTCAAGTTTTGTTGTAAATATGACTGGGGGAACGGAGGGGAGAGGGGGGTAACAGTCTTTCCTAGAGTTCTCTCCTCTCACTGTCCCCCCTCCCGTCTCCATCCCAGTATTCCCTCCCCCGCCCTGTCCTCACCTCCCACCCATTGCGTAACTTCTCTCTTGTTGTGTGTGATGAAAAACACTAAGAAAATTTTCCTAGTGTAAATTACCTCTTGATACGTCACTCCACCCCCACCCTTCATCCTATCCCACTCCATCTTGGCTCTCCTGTTCCAACCTTCTACCCCTAGAGTCTAGACCATCACGTACTCCAGCCTCCACCTGTTCTAACGAATCCAGGAAAAAAGTCACAGAAAAAAGGCACGGAAAAAACCTAACCTAACCAAACCTACGTGCAATGCCATCATATATATATTGTGTTGTCAATGTGTACAAGTCATGTGATTTTTTCCTGTGACCCCCCCCCCAGCCTATACTAGATCTACCCTCCCTCCCTCAGCGGCCCCTACGTAATAACCTCCCTCCCCCCCCCGCGCCTACCTATCCCTGGGGACTCCCGGAGACATACTAACCTTATCGGGAAGTGGGATTCCCTGAAACTATCCCCGGGTACATGGGGCCGCTCCTTAGTGTGTGTGTGTGTATGACGTAATAATGTGTGTCAGTCCAGGTGTATTCTTAACATTTATACCACCATTATACCTGATATTATTAGGGTTATTATCTAAAGAGTCTGTTGCTACTATTAATATGATGATGATCATAATCATAATTATTACAAATATCAGTTGTTATTGTTGTTAGAATCATTATCACTGTTATTTCTCATTATTAATAATAATAATAATAATATGATTATTATTAATTATTATTATTATTATTATTATTATTATTATTAATATTATTATTGTTATTGTTGTTTTGTCTTTATCATATAGTAATAATTATTCTTGTAGCATTTGTTGATTATTTTGTTAAAAGTGGTGGCGGGAATTACCGAGGTGGAGCCGAGCTGTGGGCCCGCTGTTCTTGACCTCCGGCCACCCCTCGAGCTGCCGGGGTTGCTGGGGCCGTTTCCGGGGTTGATGGGGCCGTTTCCGGGGTTGATGGGGCCGTTCCCGAGATTATTCTCGGGCTTGATGGGGTTTTGCCTAAGATTATTTATATTGCTTCCACCACCGCACTCTGTAGGTACAACAACAACGTTATACAGTATACTCATAATAATAATAATAAACGGTTTATTAATAGAGTTGCAGCCGGTGGCTGAAAATATACAAACTTACATGTGAGTGTGTGTGTGTGTGTGTGTGTGTGTGTGCACACGGTGGTGTAATGCATCTAGTGAGGCAGCATTATGTTAGTGTTAAGGTGCACGCACTGCTTACTTCCTCTTGCTTTCCGCTACCGCCGCTGGCTAGCCATCGTGGTGAACAGGAAAGCAACCTTGCGTAAGTACACAACCTCTTTACCATCTAGACTCCTGCTGTGCCTCCTCGTGGCAACACACTGTAACTGGGTGCTTCGTGGGCCCAGGCTTGACCAGTAGGGAATCTCCGTATCAGCAGTGAGTCCCAGAGGGACAGTGCATAGCCCCACTGGTATGTGGACACGCCCTGGCGCCTACCAACCACTGCCCCGCTGCCTTGCAGATTAACCTTGGTTGGTATAAGGATATGGGAGTAAACCCCGAACGAAAAATCTACGACGGAGCCCCGTATAAGGCAGACATGATTACAGAGCTCCAACAAGACGCCAACGGCGGTATAGGCGGAAGAGGTGACCAAAATAGGAACCCAACGACTACACCGGCAGATGAAGGCATTGCATGATGGACAGGCTACTAAGGCAAGACCCAACAAACTGGGCTATCGACAGTCCATTGTAACTCTCTTTCTCCCCAGCCACTGCAACCACATGCACCACTGGATCAGGAAAAGGGAGAGCCAAGATGTGTGGTTGCACTCCTGCCTCACAACATAAATCAACTCATGCACAGCCATCATACCTCTCATCGTCATCAAACCCCTATCCACCCCAAAATTCCTATGGCGACAGACGAGTGGCGACGGGGTAATAGGCGGAGTTGACTGCCGGGAGTCTCTAGTCACAACTCTACACATGGGTGGTATAGACGAGATGGTCGTTTATGCACTGGGATCTAGGCAGCAGTGTAATCCGACCCTGTCTATGCGACTGAGCAGCCCTTTCGAGGAGCGACTCTGCTCACCCCACATGGGGAGGGGGGCTAGAAAAGGTGCCTTAAACGTAGTCTGTCTAAAGAACCAACATGACTGGGCAACTGCACCCAGTAAGGTCATCCTTATGGGGTCGAAAATATAATCACAATTACAGATCAAAGCAAAAAAAAAAACTATATAACCTCCTGTGGTCGCTGCATGGAATCACCAGGACCCTTCTGGATATTGGCATAAATTAGTATCCTGAAAGAAGAAACGCCTTTGTGTCAAAAGAACTGTCTAGGTAAGACTTCGACATTGCAGCCATTAATGAATCCCGGCTCCCAGACGAGGGTAGACTCACAGAACGTGGTTGCAGCTACACTCCCGAGTCCCACTGAATCACTCTCGTCATTCCGTCTTCATCAGTGCATATGGCACAAGACTGGATGCAAAGGATGACATAAAGGAGGCCTTTTACGCTGACCTCGGCAGAATGCTAACCTCTATCCCCAGACAAAATAAGGTTGTGCTCCTAAGTGACTTCAATGCCAGAGTTGGCAGAGATGCTGACATTTGGCAGCGAATCATAGGAAGAAACGGAGTAGGCAAGTGTAATCCCAACGGCCTACTCCTCCTCAGCAAGTGTGTTATACACAACTTCACTATTACCAACACCTTGTTTAGGCAAGCCAACAAGCTCAAGGGTTCTTGGCAACACCCAAGATCCAAACATTGGCATCTTATTAACTACATCATTGTCCGAGAAAGAGATCACCAAACTCTCCCTTCACGTCGCCAAAATGGCGAAAGCAACACTCCAGAAGAGGCTTTAACATCAAGCAACTGGAGGATCCAGTGGTAGTAGATGCTTTCAGAGAGCAGCTCAACGATGGTTGATAAGCAACCCAACAACAAATATAAAAAATCACCTGTGCAGAATGGGGTCCCATCAAGGCTGTCATCACAAAAACCGCAACGAGACCCTCGGCCTGATAAAAGAAACCAGGAAACCAACGTATTCGTCGACGACAATGGTGCTGCCTTAACTGACTGGCAGAACAACCCTCAGTCTCAGATCAAAGCTGATAGCTTCCAAAAGAAGAAAGGAATGGCCCAGCGCGAACTTCGCAATCTAAAGAATAAATGGTTGAAAAATAGAATGTGTAAAAAGCAAAAACTTGCAGATCAACACAAGATGTGTGAATTTTTCAATTCTGCTAAAACAATAGATGGCCAACTACTCATGGCGTGGGCCCTTTCCGCTTATCCGACAGTAACTCCCTAATTAAAGACGAAGAAAACATTCGTCAGTACTGGATGTCCTGAATTACCCAGCAGGTTCCTCAGCACCCAGAGCTGACCCACCTCAGCTATCCTCCATCCATGGATGAGGTAGCTACTGCTATCAAACAGATGAACAATAACAAAGCCTCAGGGCCTGATAGAATTCCAGCTGAAGTGTATAAAGCAGGTGGACCTCTGCTTACCAGCCGTCTCCACTCTCTCCTGGAGAATATATGGGAAAAGGTGGAAATCCCTCAAGCTCTTAAAGACGCTTCCATCGTCAATATTTATAAGAACAAGAGAGACCGGTTAGACTGTGGCAACTACAGAGGAATATCACTGCTGTCCATAGCTGGCAAGATTATCGCCCGAGTCCTCTTAAACAGACTTTTTCCTGAGGCATAAAACTTCCTGCCAGAATCTCAATGTGGCTTTAGACCATCACGTGGCACCACTGACATGATCTTTGCTGCCCGCCATATTACAGAAAAAGTGCAGAGAACAGCGTCGTGACCTGTGCATGGCCTTCATCGACCTAACCAAAGCAGCCGTTTTGGCTGCCCACCAAAATTCATCGCCATTGTGAGGCAACTCCACGTTGGCATGAAGGGCAGTTTCCTGCACAATGGCACCCAGTCTATGTTCTTCCCCATCCAAATGGGGGTAAAACAAGGATGTGTACTGGCACCAACTCTCCCTTTTCCATTGTCCTGGTTGCCTTCTTTACTCGTGCAAGTGCAAATTTAGCTGGCTGGGTGGACATCGAGTACCGGCTGAAGGGTCATTTCAACATAAGACGACTCCAAGCAAGAACAAAGGTGTCGGCAGCATCCATAACTGAACTTCTGTATGCAGACTACATCACCCTTGTCGCTCACACTGAATGCAACCTACAGGAGATCCTGATCATCTACACAGATGCGTATGCACACTTCGGCCTTGAGGTGAATGTACGTAAGATTCACATTCTCTTTCAGCCTGCCCCTGGTTCAGCAGGCCGAGAAACTAGGCACTCTTTACACTCATTGCCTTTGTTCACCTAGCAGTGAGTGGGAACCTGGTTGTAAAACGGATGTTATGGATCGCATCCTGGGGAACGGTGTAATATAATAATATCTGAGGAACACCATTCAAAGAAGCAGGACTTGTGTCCTAGAAGCAAGTATGACGTGTGTCCGACCTGGGCGTATGACCAAAGTTGGTGTGTAAACCTAAGAATCCACACCTCCATCATCCACCACCGCGGACATCGATAAAGAGATTCAACATCGGACCAGATGTGCATCTCAAGCCTATGGCAGACTCCGAAACCGTGTCTTCAGCTGTAAGGTGACAACCTTAATAACTCATATCATTGTATGATCATCATACTCGATTCCGAGTGACAGCAAAGTAGTAGTAGTAGTAGGAGGAGGTTGTGTATGTAGTGGGAGATGTGTGTGTGTGAGTGGTGGGTAGAGGAGTTATTTATGTGCGTGGCTCAATAGTTGTTTGTGTTTAATAAATGTGTGATTACAAGTACACCTCTTGATCTGTCTAATTAACAAACATGTGTGTATATGTTTGTGACTGTGGCGGGTTATGTGTATATGTGTTAATATACAAATCTTTGGGTAAAAATACTCACCAAAATTCGGTTTGGCTATGGTAGGAGGCGGTGGTCTTCTGAAACACTTTCCACATGACACAGGACATCTTTCCTCCATCTCTTTCTCCAGTGTCGTACAGCGGCCCTGTTCAGCCTGGGTCTTGCACAACGGCGACTTGTCGAAACACAACGAGACATCTGTCGAAGAGAACGACTCATTTAAGAAAGAATATAAATCAGTTGAGAGAGAGAGAGAGAGAGAGAGAGAGAGAGAGAGAGAGAATGATTCGAATGTATAAATTGTTTCTTAAGAGAGTGATTCGGATGAAAGATATAATTATTTTAAAAAGAGAACTACAGTACTTCAATGAAACAAAATAAATAATTCCGAGAGAAATGGATGCAAGCTGAATATTTTTTCCCTTATGATAAATAAAACCTATTATTTGGAGGCAGCTTTTACCCGTCAAAGACCATTGCACAGAGTTTTAATTTAAGGGTGAATGGTAATATCTGAAATTATGGCCGAGTCTACTATGATGCCATCAGATTCTCTCTCTCTCTCCTCAAATCAACCAGGTCGAGATACTGTATTAATCTTACAAAACAGACTTTACTCACCTGTTTGGGCCAATGTGGTAGAACAGCACCCGACCACAACCAACAACCACACCACCATGACAACAGGCGTCATCTTCCACCAGGACCACCACGAACCACCAAGGTAGACTTGGGTGATGACCTGAGCGCTGGGTGACTTTCTGGGCTGGTTGATAAGATGGACATAATTGGAGTTAATTCGCTGCAGATTTGTATTTTTAATTTTGTACAAGATGACGTGAGATAATATTATGTATTATTTACCTTATAAACTATTTTATTTAGCTAATAAACACCCACAATAGGGGTGGCTGGCAATGGCGATGATCACGTAGTGTCGGATCCCACCCATTATTTCTGATAGTTTTGTTAAGGGTTATTATGAAGCCCAGTACTGTTCTTGGTCCCACGCTTGGGGTGGTCGACTGTTCACTAGATGAAGTACTTCCTTATGTTCGTTCTGCATGATAACTTGGCGGGCTTGAAATTATGTCCCCTCGTGTTGGTGGTGCGTGACATCATGAAACAATGGCCAGGGATCAGATTTTTCCATCATTTTCAAGATTTTGTTTGTCTCTAAGAGATTTGCTTCATTGTGCCTTGTCTGAAGGGCTGTTAGTCCAAAGGCAATCAGTCTACTTGGATAATTGAGATGACATTGTTCAGGAATCATCTTAGTCACTCTGTGTTGCACCTTTTCTAGGGATGTTAAATCTTTCTGGAGGTAATGTTTGTGTTGTGTGATACTGTCATAATTTTGAAATTTCTCTAACCTTGTCTTGCATCTGTACTTGCACAGGTTAGACATTTGCACATGCCTATACCTTCACCTGACCGTTTCATGTGTCTAAGGTGACCCTGACCAGAGTTTGTTTACGAAATCTCAATACCTGTTGCTGTATTTGTACCTGTACCTATACTTGAACTTGCATCTATGTGTAAAGTTTTTACGAGTACAAATTTAAAACTCAAAAAGTCATTTCAAGGATGTATTATTGTCTCGAGATTTCAATGCCCTACAATGTATTTGCAAACATACCCACAAAGTAAAATGCAAAATGAACGCAAATGGAAACTTCACTACAAGATAAATATTAAACCAGTAAATAATATAAACAAACATAAACGCCTATGTCCAATTTCACCATCAAATAAACACTACATACAAACACGTGTAAACACAAACAAAGAAACACGGGAAAACATCTGCATCATGTAGATACTACAAAAGCACAAACCAATAAAAACACATACACACGAATACATAAACGAACACACACAAACAAAGATAAACCCTTATACACACACAAGAGAAACACAAAGTAAATAAAAATAAAAGAAAACCTATTACAATACCCAAGTGGATGAGAGACACAGGTACGTCCGTTCTCGTCACCGTCCCAAGCGACACTAACCGGATTCTTCACCTGAGTCACCATCACCACTCACTCACTACCACAAGTCTTCGTTCGTAACCTCGTATATGCAATCAACACTGGGAAAATGTTTTATGCTATTTCAAACTTTTGTGTCACTTTTTTTTATTCAGCTACATATATTTTTTTCTTACTACCTACTGTATGTTGACCAAATCCTTCAACCTACCATATTGTTTTCCAAGAATCTCATTCTCTAAACTTCGTTCATCATTTCATAATATTTTTTCTCCTAAAGTAACCTGTTTTCCTCGTCTCTTTGGTACACACTGTTAATACTAAGTATCCCTTGTACTATACTGTACTATGTACCTGTACAATACTTAGTCTGTACTGAAAACAATAATACTATATATAACACTACTATGTGCTATAACATTTTTTTTAATTATTATTTATTGGGCACTCCCCTTCATCCTTGTGTAAGGTGAAGCGCAGAAGCGTTTACAGCGCCCAACAGGGAAGCATGCAAAGTTCATGCTTGCCTTTATGTCTCATGAATTAAGGGCGTAGAAGCCTGAAGAGTCAATGGTTTATGTCATCAAGTTATTGGAAGCTCCAACTTGTCCCTGAATACGAATTAGCAACTTTCGATTTACACCAGGTACCTACTTTACTGCTAGGTGAACAGGAACTAATGGGAGCTAGGAAGTATGTCCAAACAACTTCCACCGGCCCGGGAATCGAACCCGTGACATCTCGCTTGCGAAGGCAAGAGCGGTACCACTTTACCACCAGCACCCCCCAAATATGTGCTATATTGTTCTATATACAACACTGTACTAAGTAATATATTGTGCTGCATACAACACTGTACTGTTACATTAACTCTTCCTTGTGTTGGGTTCTCGACTAATACAACTGTTTACCAGGTGACATTTTCAAAGACTGGTTAATCTCAGATATCGGTGAAGTAAAACCGACAAGTAAAATAACAATATAATTAATTTAAACAATTTGCAATGCATACAAGAAACAATAATGCCAAAATAACTAAATAGGAAGTTTACTCTGTTCGAGAATTTAGCCAATGACTAAACAACAACTACAATTTAATCAATTACAAGATACAGCACTTAAGCTAACTGGAGGAGGAACACTTATAACATAAGTGAAGAGAGTTCACACAATGTAAATAACAATGTACTATGGGGGTGAGACCCACAGCCAGCTACCATACTGTCCACAATCTGACTGGCTGTTCTGGGGTAGTTAACCCAACACCAAGCCTCTAATGAAGGAGTTGAAGCATCGAGACAGTCCAGTGGGGCGACTCTTGGCAGTCAGTCCTCACCATCTTTTTACTTTACCAATAGATGGCAACTATAGTAACACCTCCCCAGAGTCCCTAGGGTGTGGCAACCGGTACGACTGCCCCGGGCCCTTACCTCACACAACACCAGAATTAGTGACCGCCTTAAACATAAGAACATAAGAAAATAAGGAGTCTGCAATAGGCCGGTTGGCCTGTGCATGGCAGCTCCTGTCGAGAGTTACTACCACTCTCTATCATCCATGGATCTATCTAGCCTCCCTTCAAAACTTTCCAGCGTTCCAGCACTTACTATAAAGTTGCTAAGCTTGTTCCACTCGTCCACCACCCTATTTGTGAACCAGTTCCTTCCTATCTCCCTCCTAAACCTAAACTTATCCAACTTAAATCCGTTGCTACGAGTCCTATCCTGCTCGGATATTATAAGAACTTTATCTATATCTCCTTTATTGATTCCTTTCGCTCACTTGAATATTTCTATCATATCTCCCCGCACTCTTCGTCTTTCTAGGGAATGCAAGTTTAGTTTCTTTAACCTATCTTGATATGGAGCGTTTCTAAGTCCCGGAATCATTTTCGTCATTCTTCGCTGAACCGACTCCAGTGAATTGATATCCATTCTATAATAAGGGCAAGAGAACTGAACCGCATAATCGAGGTGCAGCCAGACTAGCGCAATATATGGTTGCAATAAGACCTCTGTACTCTTATTACATACACGTCTAGATATAAAACCCAATACTCTGTTAGCCTTATTTCGAACATTAACGCACTGTTTTCTAGGCCGTAGGTCCGGGCTTACAAGTACCCCTAAGTCACTTTCACAAGTCGACTTCTCTAGGTTGATGTTGTTAAGGCTGTATACATTGACAGTATTTGTTCTTCCAATATTAAGTACGCTGTACTTGTTGGTGTTGAATTTCATTTGCCATTTTTCTGACCACTCCTGTAGTTTATTTAAATCCTCCTGTAGTGCATTTGCATCCTGCCCTGAATTAATCTGCCACCCTATTTTGGTGTCATCCGCAAACTTGCTTATGTCACTGCTGATCTCAGTATCTAGATCGTTTATGTAGATTATGAACAAGAGTGGGCCTAGTACTGACGCCTGGGGAACCCCACTGGTTACACAGCCCCACTCAGATTTAACACCATCTACGCTGACCCTCTGCATTCTATCGGTGAGCCATGATTTTATCCAATTTAAAACTTTCCTCTCGATACCATGAGCCTTAACTTTTCTCAGAAGCCTCTGATGCGGTACTCTGTCAAATGCTTTGCTAAAGTCTAAGTAAATAACATCATAATTTTCGTCATTATCTACTACCTCGAAGACTTTCCTAAAAAACGTCAGCAGATTGTTAGACAAGATTTTCCCTTTGTAAACCCATGTTGAGAGTCGTAGATTAATTTGCTTTTCTGTAAATGCGATCGGATGCTATTTGCTATAATTGATTCAAGAAATTTCCCCACTACTGATGTCAAACTGATCGGTCGGTAATTTGACACTGATGCTCTGTCTCCCTTTTTGAATATGGGTACTACATTTGCCTGTTTCCACAAGTCTGGCACAACTCCCGTGTCTAATGATTTTGTAAATAAATTTATGAGGGGTCTGCTAATATGTTCCCTACACTCTTTCAAGACTCGAGGGAAAATTTCATCCGGCCCTGGGGATTTTGTCTTCTTTAATTTATTTATTTTCTTAAGAACATCCTCTTTTCTGTTAGTGATATTCTTTAATTTCTCTTCTTCCTTTCCCCTAAATATCAGTTCCACCTCTGGAATTTCCTCTCGAATTTCTTCTGTGAAAACTGATAAAAGTAGCTGTTCAATGCTTTGCTTATTTCTTCACTGCCATTTATCACTTCTCCCCTCCCTGACTTTAAAGGCCCAACTTTGTCCTTGACCTTTGTTCTATATACCTGGAAAAATCCCTTGGGATTCGCCTTGGATTCTCTTGCTATTCTGATTTCATAGTCTCTCTTTGCTTCCCTTACATTTTTCTTAACATTCCTAGATAGTTTATAATACCTATTTCTGAGCTGCTCCTCCCCTCCCTTTAATTTCTTATAAATTCCTTTCTTTATTCCTAGGTCATGTTTAAGTTTTCTGGTCATCAATTTGGCTCATTCTTATTTGACCTAATTTTTCTGCATGGTATATTTTGTTCTTGTGCTTTACGTAGTACAGTACTAAGCTTTATAACTATATCTATGACTATGCTTTATCACTCTAACTCTACCTCTAAGCCTTATCATTATAACTATTATTAAGCTCCGTCATCAACTGTATCTAGGCTATATCACTATAACTTTCACTGATCTTTATCATTGTAACCGTCCATAAGTTTTATCATCTAACTATACCTCATCGTAACTGTATCATCATGGTGAACAAGGTATTAAATTAAACTATTTCCTTCTATACAAGGTTTATTTAATACACAATTTATGATGTAAAAAGATTTATTTTGCTACTAAACCATATACAATTTTGTGATTGTTTAATTGAACGTATACGATGTGAAATAATAATAATAATAATAATAATAATAATAATAACTTGAGGTACACTTTTGCCATGGATCTGTGTCACTTCGTTGTGAGTGTTAAACTGATGAGTGAAGGTAGCGCTTGGTTGCAGTTTTAGGGGACTCCTTGACGTCATAATGTTGCAATAATGTTGTGGAATGTTGCCATGTTTATATTCTTTTGTATTTTCCCGGGATTTTACAGATTTTATGAATAATTTTTCTGATATATGTTGATATTGATAAATGTTCATTAGTATTATTTTGACGAAGGTTGATATTGTATTTAAAGTGAAGAGAGAGGAAGGAAAATTCAAAAGACAAAGAAACGAGCAAAAATAATCGAAATACGAAAAAGTTCCTTCAGTGAAGAAAGTTAATAAATAATCTTATGTAATTAAGCGAGAAAAGACGAAGAAAAATTTTGACTCTTCAATAAAATTAGGTAGATATATAGTTAATCATTCCTTCCACCTTTAGAACATTATTGAATTGCTAAAAGTGAGGAACATAGAGTTTTATCTCTCATAATATTTACTTGTAGATGGGCTAGTGTAATGACTAACCTTATTAAGTGTTTAAGGACTTTGGTGGCTAAAACAGTAAAAACAAAAAAACAAAAAAGGCAGAAGAGAAGGTAGAAAGTAAAAACAAAAAAGTGAACATGTATGGCAGGCACTAGAGAAGAGACAGGACGCCAGGTACAGGTGAAGTCTACAATGAGCGATGCAAAAGGACACTAGGAAAATTTTTGTTCAGGGTCGAAATTCACAAAGGTTCGTTTGATGGATGTATAAGGTGTGGACTTAAACCAAACGAATTTCCAAACATTACACAAAATCTGTACTGAAATACAATGTGAATTAAGATTACAGTCACACAGAACCACGTAAGAGACAATATTAATTTGTACAGTAGAATCGCTGGTATTCGTTAATTAATTGAATGTTTATAGCTAAAACAATTGCTATGCTATTTTACTTTATTATTTTGCTCTAAATTAGGTGAACCAGTTAATGCTGTTCTGCATCATCAGTGACGAGGAAAAGCCACCGAAGAACATAAGTGAATCAGCGTGTACTGTAGATGACATTTTTAGAAAGGAATAGATATATGGTGATTAAACTGGGATGAGCTGAACAGCACTACATCCCTCACTAGCAATAACATTAGTAGTCTGGTCAGAAATGGACAAAAAACAGGGAGGCTGATTATAACTATGACCCAAATTGAATATATTTTCTTGGTTTAAAATGAAAAGAAAGAGTTGATAAATTTGGTGGTGGTTTTATTAGCCAGGAGCGTGGTGGTGGGCCTCACCACGAAGACGCTTCCTGCGGCAGGGATCGTCACAGCTGTGTATGCCCAATTAATTATAAAATTATCAATCTAAATAGAGCTGTGAGAACTATCAAATGTTGCGACATAAATGGATTGTGAAAAATTCCCGTGCCTTAACAACATCAACCTAGAGAAGTCGACTTGTGAAAGTGACTTAGGGGTACTTCTAAGCCCGGACCTACGGCCTAGAAAACAGTGCGTTAATGTTCGAAATAAGGTAAACAGAGTATTAGGTTTTATATCTAGAAGTGAAAGTAATAAGTGTGCAGAGGTCTTATGGCAACTATATCTTGCGCTAGACAGGCCGCACCTCGATTATGCTGTTCATTTCTGGTGCCCTTATTATAGAATGGATATCAATTCACTGGAGTCGGTGCAGCGAAGAATGACGAAAATGATTCCGGGACTTAGAAACCTTCCATATCAGGATAGGTTAAAGAAACTAAATCTGCATTCCCTAGAAAGACGAAGAGTGCGGGGAGATATGATAGAAGTATTTAAGTGGGTGAAAGGAATCAATAAAGGAGATATAGATAAAGTTCTTATAATATCTGAGCAGGATAGGACTCGTAGCAACGGATTTAAGTTGGATAAGTTTAGGTTTAGGAGGGAGATAGGAAGGAATTGGTTCACAAATAGGGTGGTGGACGAGTGGAACAAGCTTAGCAACTTTGTAGTAAGTGCTGGAACGCTGGAGAGTTTTAAAAGGAGGCTGGATAGATTCATGGATGATAGAGAGTGGTAGTAACTCTCGACAGGAGCTGCCATGCACAGGCCAACCGGCCTATTGCAGACTCCTTACTTTCTTATGTTCGTATGTTAACTTTCCCCCCTCCCTTATGTGTCTTTACGGTGAGGCAAGAGAAGATTTCCCAACCCACCACCACACTACCGGCTCGTAATAACATCAGTAACCACCTAATATATAAAAAAAATTTAACACAAGAAAGCATTTTTTTTTTTTTTTTAATGGCATTAGTCCACCCGGGCACAGGTCACTGACCCACATCGGGGCCTGGGGGGCGAAAATGTAATATTAATAGAAATAATTCAGAGTAAATACAATTTAAAATGAAAAATACAAAATTGAAAATAAAATAATAAAATAATAATGATAATAATAATAATAATAACAACACTGTAATAAAAACAATAACAATAATAATAATAATAATAATAATAATAATAATAATAATAATAATAATAATAATAATAATAATAATAATAATAATAATAATAATAAAGAAATACAAAAATGAAAAAAAGATCAACACTGAGAAATAATATATGTATGTTGTGTTGTCAAAATTAAGAGAAACAATTGAGACCCTGCAATTTTGTGTAACTGAAGCAGAAAGTCAGATCAGTAACCTGGGACTTCATCACAATTTTCGTGATGCCATATGGCAGCAGGGTCTACCATAAGACGATACATTATGCTTCCAATATCTTCCCAGGCGGTAGTACCTCCCTGTTTGGTAGCTGCATACTACCTTGGTCTTATGCCGGGATGCTCCTGCTTAACACAATTACTCACGGCAGACAAGTGCGAACGCCGGAAAGACGCTGCCGCCGCTCCTCCCGCACTAGGTGTAGCCCATCACTTGCGCAACATCTGTGATCGACTTTGCCGATCCCGTATGGGCCTCTCTAGTCACCTCAAAACTCACCAACAAAGGTGACGCCCTTAATAACTCATATCTTCTTATCATAGCTGGATGATCGTCATACCCGATTCCGAGTGACAGCAAATTTTTAAGTGATTAATGGAACGAAATCTGCATGTGTACCCGTGACAAACGTGGTACCACAGGGCAGTGTTTGGGCCCGTTGTTGGTTGTTTGCTTCCTAAATGACATGCCGGAAGCTACATGCTTCAGCATACAAAATTTTGCGGACGATGCTAAGTTATTCAGGGAAATTAAGAACCAAACAGACTGTAGAGAGGATGCACCTGTGTCATACCAACGTTAAGGAGGCTTATCATATGTCCCAATAGGACGAATGGGAAAAAGTCTTGAGTGTGTATGTTGACAATGAACTGATGTTTTCGGGCCATTTTGAGACGAAGGTGAATCAAGTAACTAAACTAGTGTGGCTTATAAAAAGTTCGTTCAGATGAAGTGCTTTCCCGTCTGGAGTACTGCCATCCCGTCTGGTCCCCGAGATATGCTAGAAACTGTCAGTTGCATTGAAAATGTCCAAAGGAGGGCCACCAGAATGGTGTCTGCACTCCGGCACCTCACTTATCCATGGATTAGAGCGCCTGCAACTGCCTAGCTTATACTACAGACGGGCAAGGGGTGACCTAATTGAAGTGTATAAACATCTCAGAGGGTACTACCCAGTCGAGTGTCCATACCTGGAGCTGGCGGACGCCCGACCCACAAGGGGTCACAGCTCAAAGTTGAAAATGCCATTAGTCCAGAAAACTGTGAGGGCAAACTTTTTTGTAGTCAGAATTTTGAACTCTTGGAACAGCCTGCCAGAGAGTGTTGTGACAGCACCGAGTGTGAGCTCTTTCAAGTTCAGACTTGATGAACACTGGATCAGATTCAGATACATTCAGGGGCCAGTGCATGCCCAGTACAGTACTTGCCAACAGAGATGTGACAGACCACCCAACGGCTAGTGAGTCAATCAGTGGCGAAGAGGATTAAAGTAAAAGTAAGTAAACGTTTGTTTTCATCTTTCTTGGTTGGTTGCTTGTCAACATTCCCGGGAGTTTTTGGGTTAGGAAAAAGAGATTGTGACGAAGTACTGTACTTTAGTAAAAGCTTCTCTTCTCTGTTTTTTTTAATTATATTTCACAAACTTTGAACATTTTATTTACGGCATATGGGAGGTGTATATTATCTAAGCTGAGATGTAAAAACTATTCTGACGCACTTAATCTATGAGTATTATTCGCATAGAATTTGTAATAAAAAATAAATACTAAAAATACTGCACCAAATTTCCCTAATAACTGGAAAAGTTAAGAAAGTGTCCAATTAGCACAAATGTGCTACGTTAAACTCTCCTCCTGACTACAGATTTGAGAACGAATACAATTTATTATCTTCAGATTTCGAATAAATATGACGACTAAAATGATGCTATGTTGCTGGGGGTGTATAGCAACACACTGGGTGTAATATAGTCTGGGTGTAGACTATGTTTGGGTGTAGAGCAGCACACTGGGTGTAATATAGTCTGGGTGTAGACTATGTTTGGGTGTAGAGCAGCACACTGGGTGTAATGAACGTATCTTCAGGTGTCATACGTATACCACCTTTCGACTTTTATCTTTCAATTTGCCAGATTGGATAATACTTTAACATATCTAGTGTTAAGATTTCTTTTCACCATTCATCAAGCATTGTACTGTATCAATCATCTCTGCTATGTCTATATTCTGTACAATTTATAATTGTTAAAACTAATCTTGGAACTATTAACTAAAGATGAATTTAATCTGTGTGTCAGTGATATATGTTAAGACTAAACTTTACTATCGTTAACTTAAGTTCCATTTATGAATGCTGAGAACACTCGGTCATTTTGACCAATAGGCGGCAATAGGGACCGGGCGGATATATTGCTCGCCTACTGGTTCGCGTCCGTGGCACCCTCACTTAACCCAACTGTGAATGGGTGGCAAAGTCTACAGCTGAGGAAGTGAGGTCCTGGACACAAGGACTCTTTATATATCAGGATCAACTATCAACAAAATTTGCACATTGACTAAATTTGAAAACGATATCCACTTGGGTATTTTCATACCTATAGCAAACATTCAGGCTAAAGAGTTTTCTTCTATTTGGAAATATTCTTTGGGCTATAAAAGACTAATTCAGGTGAATTTTTTTTTCGGTTACTGAGAAGGTTTTTGATACAGAGAATAAAAAGCTTCGCAAGAACTAACACAAATATTGGAATTATCTAACATTCATTAATCTTCATCAGTGTTTATAAAGTTGCAGTTTATATGTTAATACTAAAATGCCCAGATGTCATATAAACTACTTTTGACTCCTAGATATATTCTCTACGGCTCTCCATAACAACACTAACACTTCGTACCCGAGAAGGAGCACTTGGCAGTTGTTCCTTATTATCAGCTATTGATGAAGATCAGGAATAGTGTGGTCGAGAAACCTCTGCCCAGGAGGGTAGATGGTGTCTCACTATGTGACAACACACACACACACAAACAATACCCCACTAGTCAGGCACCCTGGACCTCTTCGTGTAAACAGGGATCTCTACTAACGTGCCAACTATGTGGTTGTAGTGGCAATTTACAGAATCCAGCTAGGACTGCATAGTTGGCACGGGCAATCCTCAATGGAGGTTCACATTTCTTAAAACAGACGACTGAACGGGTTTTGTGTGAAATACAACAAAGCCTAGAATTGTTTTTGTTGTCCTTGTGGCACGTTAGTAGAGATCCCTGTTTACAAGAAGAGGTCCAGGGTTCGATTCCCGACTAGTGACGTATTGCTTGCACAAGGAAGTCCATATGTTATATGGACAGAGTATATATATATATATATATATATATATATATATATATATATATATATATATATATATATATATATATATATATATATATATATATATATATATATATATATATATATATAACCTTTTAGAGTACCCACATGACTGAGAGTTAGATTAAGTTAGGTTAGGTTAGGTTAGGTTAAGTTTCATTACCTTACAGTACGTGAGGGCAAACTAAGTTATGGTTGATATGGTAAAGTTAAGATAGGTTTGGGTGGGTAAAGATGTTTGAAGTTAGGTGTCTACTTGTCTACTTAAGTTGCATAAAGGACGCTGTTAATAAAGTTGACGTGATCTGCGACGCTGATGAAGAAGCCAGGGAGGATAGAGGCACCCGCTCCCCGGCATGCCACACCTGAACTCACTATCCCCACCACGAAGCGTCGACCATCAGCTTCATCCAGGAACAGCGGCCCGCCAGAGTCACCCTAGTGAGAGAGGATCATAGTCATCATCCTGGACCACCAAATAATAGACGACTACATCTACTTATTTTCTCTCTAACAAACACCAGAACAAAACAAGAGACTCACCTCACAAGCACTTCTCTCAGGGTGATTGGCACACATAATGTCTCGTCCTTGTAGTAAGTCAGGGTACACGACACGCAGTTGTGGCTCATGATGTTCTCTCCTGTAGATGCTCTCACACTCTGCAGAATCTAAGATACGAAGATCAGCCTCCTGCAACACTGCTGACTGGTGCGCTGTAACAACAACACCACCCTGTATGTTAACCCTGATAGGCTGCAGTGAATATGTCCAGTGTATCTGAAATGCAAACTTTCTTTCTCTAAATATATCCATCTGTGCTTCTGGGAGTTGTGGATACAATAAGCAATTGAGTAAGCCAAACATGGAATGTGGGTATTATCATAAAGTCTTGGATCTGTGCAAAATTGGCTACCTTCGCTCCTAATGTTATGAAGTTTTGGAAGGTTTTGTTTGCAGGCACAAAAACATTTAAGGCACTATAACTGTTACAGATCTATCAAAGAGGAAAAATTTTTTGATGGAATTGTGTATGTGGTTACAGTGTAACTGAGGAACATCCTGGTGGAGTTCAATAATTAAGAACATAAGAAAATAAGAATGAAGGAAGCTGCAGCTGGCCTATTGGCCCGTACTAGGCATTCCCGTTTACACCTAACCCCTATCATTAATATATCCATCCAACCTATATTTGAAGCTACCTAACGTGTTCGAGTTAATGATGATGTTTGGTAACTTGTTCAACTCATCCACTACTCTATTTCCAAACCAGTGTTTACTTATCTCGCTCCTAAAATCTAAATTTGCTTAATTTAAAATCATTGCTACGAGTTCGCTCCTGGTTGGATAATTTAAGTACCGTTGTTATATCACATTTGTTTAGCCCTGACTTCAACCTATACAGTACACCTCAATCATATCGCCCCTCACTCTACGACTCTCGAGGGAGTGCAAATTAAGATGCTTTAACCTGTCTCTATAATACTCAAGATTCCTGATGCCCGGGATTAGTTTTGTCATTCTCCTCTGTATGCTTTCTAGGGATTCGATATCCATTCTGTAGTACGGAGACTAAAACTAAACTGCATAATCCAAGGGAGGTATCACAAGCTCAAGATACAGTTTTATTGTAGGATTACCTCGCTAGTCTTGTAACTAACACTCATTTGTAGGCACACAAGTATTTTGTCAGCCTTGTTTCGAGCAAATGCGCATTGCTTTGGTGTAAGATTTCTACTTACCATTACTCCTAAATCTTTCTCACAGTCGGATTTCTCTATATCAAGGAGGTTCATCTGAAGTATGGTTTCTCTGCTTACATTTCCAAGTCTAAGTACTTTACATTTGTCCACATTAAATTTCATCTGACATTTTTCAGACCAATCCAAAAAAATATATAATTCTTCCAGTAGTTTTGCGGAGTCTTCGTCAGATTTAATTACACGCCCTATTTTAACGTCGTCAGCAAATTTACTGAAGCCCTACTTATGTTGCTGTATATGCGTATATCTATAAAAGTCATAAAAGTTGGAGGTAACTCACAAGTGTTGGAGGTAACTCATAAGTGTTGGAGGTAGCTCACAAGTGTTGGAGGTAGCTCACAAATGTTGGAGGTAACTCACAAATATTGGAGGTAACTCACAAATATTGGAGGTAACCCACAAGTGCTGGATGTAACTTATAAGTGTAAAGAGTATCTCTCCCATAGTTCGCCATTATGTGTTCAAATAACTCACTCTGGTTGATAAGGCCGAAGCCAGAGCCGGTAACGGTGGAGTTCGGGGTAGGTCGTTTGTCTGACACACAGTACGGGAAGACCAGTTCGTTGAAGATAATCTTGTCCACTGTCTCCAGCAGCGCTATGTCGTTGTATCGATTGAAGGAATCTCCTGTTATCGAGGTGTTAGGACACACTCTGAACATGGAGGTGTTAGGACACACTGAGGACATTGAGGATTTAGGACACACTGAGGACATTGAGGATGATTTAGGACACACTGAGGACATTGAGGATTTAGGACACACTGAGGACATTGAGGATTTAGGACACACTGAGGACATTGAGGATTTAGGACACACTGAGGACATTGAGGATTTAGGACACACTGAGGACATTGAGGATTTAGGACACACTGAGGACATTGAGGATTTAAGACACACTGAAGACATTGAGGATTTAGGACACACTGAGGGTCTGTCTACTTATTGACAAAAATATCTATATTAAGTGTGAGATATTTATAATTATTTACGTATAAATTATGTTAACGTAAAAAACTAGATAGTGAAGAACTAAACACACCTTATCACTTCCTTCTCGCGTCTTGGATGACACTCCCATGTCCCCCACGCACCTCTGATTCAGGTCGTTACCAAGTGCCCCGCCCTCAGTGGCATTAACTGTATCTCACACACTACAGACGTGTTAAAGGAGCTCTGTAAATTACCTCCTGTATTCTCTCTCGTAGACAGACGGTTGCTTATTACTGGTCAATTCGTAATTAATAACCATAGAGTGTGCTATATTTGGGTAATGAAATAGAAAAACCATATAAAGTTTGTGTGAACATTTAAACACTGTGGAACAACTACAAAGTACAGTAACTAAAGGGAACACCAGCTAGTACAAAGATGTTACCAGGTGATTTACCAAACATCCACGCCAAGAACACAAGGTGTCAGCGGTTCGGATAACTATAATCTCCACTAAACTGGAACATAATAATTATAAAGGTGACAGTGATAACGATACCTATATAATATTATTGCCTGGAACACAAACTGGAAGAGGTAACTGCCCAGGTAATATAGGTGGTGATCCAATCCTCAGTAAAAGGTAATAAAATGGGGAGATGTGACAGGGCAAAGTGAACATAATAGCCAATGTGCAGAATTAATCCAAACACACGCATACTCATACATAATTACACACGTACAGCTGGGGACTTTTCTAACTGTTGTTCCAGTCAGTGTTGTCAATATCCACTCTCTGTGAGGTGTGAACCCCGGGATAATCGAGTCGTGAATCCGAAGCATTCACCTCATCCATGGTTGATAGGGGATGGCCTGGAGTCTCTATATATTGCGTCCTTTTACGACTTTCATGACCCATTAAATAATGGATGCATTTAATTAGATTAAACATTAGCATCAAAATATTAATCTTGTATAATAATACCTGAACGCGTGCTTCTTGTCTGTCTGTAACACACTGGGGCAGCTCCTCGTGGAATATATGGCCAGACTACTGAATAAAGTTAGTTCGGGAGAGGTAGGTCTGACATTAAAATCGTTGGTGTTGTCTATAAATATAACATTATTATACGAATGGGATCTGTGCATGTAAAATCTTTATACCATACAAAACACCACTAAGAAGGGGGGTTGTTGGATAACTTCGTTGAAAATTAAGTGCCCAATGCCACATTGCCATTAATCTTTTTATAGTGTAAATTTTGGGTTACACTATTAGAAAAAAATGTGGCTACAAACACTGCAGGCATCCTACAAGGTGTTGTCATAAAATTTTATGAAAATCGGTAAAGCACTTTTCTGACCTTATGGGCGTGTGCTTTGGAATATAGGTAAAGGCTTACATTTCGAAGGGCTCAATGGCACATTATCGTTATTATTAATATTTTTCTTTTTAGGGGAGGACACATCATGTCAAAAAGGAAAACGTGATAATTTTTTTCGTTATCACTGACCTCTATTACCCCAATGTGCAAATATTGAGTAATGTAGCTTGCCTGTATCCTAGCTACAATCATCTTGATGAGGAACTCAGTCGAACCAACTGTATATAATACTTAGTCTTGACGTTCCTTACATTATCCTATATCAAATATGGCGCTCAGGGGTGAGAGTTTCAGAAAAATAATAAATAAATAAATAAATAAGTAAATGAATAAATAAATAAATATGCATATATTGCTCAAAGCTGTAGCACAAGCTGGGAATACCACTCAAAGCTGTAGCACAAGCTGGGAATACCACTCAAACCTGTAGCACAAGCTGGGAATACCACTCAAACCTGTAGCACAAGCTGGGAATACCACTCTAATGTGAGGTAAAACATTGTTAGTGTTTTGACCTACGTATTTATAGCCTTGCTTAATACATACTATGTTATAACTGAACCTCTCCCATCCCTGCAGAACTGAACACTCAGTTGTGTTCTGACCTCACTAGGGGAAAGGTCACGGCAGCTTAGCTCAGCTCCCGGGGATAATTACCAGATATGGCTAGTGCTACTTGTAAATGGGGTTATGCCCTTCTGTGGGCCGAGTTAGAGAGTACCAAGGAAAAAAACCTGAAATTAGTAGAAGAAAACTTGAAATTAAAGGAAGAGAGCAAGGATGAAGGAAGAAACGAGACAGGGAAAGCCGGTGAATGAAGAATGGAAGGTTGTGAGGAGAGGGACTACCAAACTGGTGGTTAAGAAATACACCAAGGATACAACAACGACAACCAGCTAAGTGTACCAACTCGTTCAGTCCCTTGATAGACGAATTGGACGTTAGTACAGTCAGGGACAGGGCTGACAAGGAAGGTATAAAAACTTTAATTGTTGGTGACTCACAGGTAAGGTACTTGGACAGAGCCTTTTGTGGTCAAAATAAAAATAGGATGAGGGTGTGTTTGCCAGGGGCTGGGGTGGGGGATATAGTTGACAGGATGGACAATATCTTGTCTGGTAATGGGAACAAACCCATTATCTGCCTCAGTGCAGGAGGCAACGATATTGGCCGGTGTAGGAGTGAAGAGCTTCTTGATAAGTTGAAGACAGCTATAGATCGTATTAGGACTAAGGGAGGGATCCCTATCATATGTGGTGTCCTACCTAGAAAGAGTTAGCAGTGAATGGTTGTCAAGGGCAGTTGGTGTCAACAGCCGTCTTGATGGATATTGCAAGTCAATATCAGTCCCATTCATTGACAACTGGGACAACTTCTACGGCAGAAGGGACCTTTATGCTAGGGATGGGGTACACCTGTCTTGGGAGGGGGTGGCAGTCCTGGCTGGGTCTCTAGAGGGGGCAGTTTAAAAGATATCGAAGTCTTTAAACTGCTAGGGGAACATATGGGCACGGGGGTGGAGGAGACTGCAGTGGGAGAGGGGAAAAAACTAAATTAGATAGTGAGTTTAAACCTAAACGCAGTAAAGGGAGGACTCAGAACAAGACTAACTTAAATGTCTACTTGCGAACAGTAGAAGTATGAGAAATAAAATGGATGATATTAGGGCATTGGTATGTACCGAAAAAATCGATATAATAGCATTCACTGAAACATGGATCAACCTAGACTCAAGTGAGTTACCGGTCGAATACCAAATTGCTGGTTACAAATTGTTCCATACAGATAGGCGGTCCAGGAAAGGAGGTGGAGTAGCAATCTATGTCAAGGATAATCTGAAGTGTGAAATAAATAAGGAAATAAAAACTGAGCGGAATACTGAAACAATTTGGATAGAATTAATCGGCGGTAGGGAAAAATTAATCACAGGAGTAATATATAGACCTCCCAATATTGATAGAGTTAATGAGCGACTTATCTGGGATGAAATGCGCAGGGCTTCCATACACAACAAAGTCTGTATAGTAGGCGACTTTAACCTTGGCCAAATAGATTGGACTGACCTTATGGGTAACTCAGAATCAGAAGATTTTCTCGAAACGATCCAGTACTGTTCCTAAGTCAACATATAACCAAACCCACCCTAGGTAATAATTTACTGGATTTAGTTCTGTCGAGGTAGAGAACGAACTTGCAAACAGCGATCACAAAGAAATTAGATTCCAGTTAGATTTTCAGGACAGATGTAAGGAAAATTCCACTAAAGTACCGGATTTCAGAAGGGCAAACTTTGACACTTTAAAGAGGCAGCTGAGAGAGAGGGTGTCACGCTTGGGCGTGAACCTGACAGATGACACAGAACTGATAACGAGATCTGAGATTGCCGAGTTCCACGGCAATTTAAATAATGAGTTACTTATTGAACAAAGGCAGAACATACCATAAAAAAAACTCAGATCAGACAACAATGATCCTAAATGGATAAATAATTATTTAAAGAACATCATTGGCCAAGGGAAGGCTATAGGTAGAAAGATAAATCGTGGCGAAATTTACCTCCAGGATTATTATAAGGTATTGCGAGTAGGGTTAAAACCGAGATAAGGAAAGCCAAGAGGAATAATGAGGTAAGGATAGCAAGGGAGGCGAAGACAAACCCCAAAGGATTCTACCAAATGTATCAAACTAAAACACGAGATAAGATTGGACCAATACGGTCAGATACCGGCGAGCTCACTGATACCAACGGAGAAATGAGCAATAATTTGAATAAATATTTTTCAACAGTTTTCACCACCGAAAATTTAAACATGATACCCGAGGCACCGACTAGTAACGATGTTAGTAAGCAAATAGACAAACAAAAGCCTAATAAGTCACCTGGCCCTGATGAGATATTTGCCAGAGTATTAAAGGAATGTAAGGAAGAGCTTAGTATGCCCTTTGCAAAGTTGTTTAACATGTCCTTCAAAACAGGTGTAGTACCAGAATCCTGGAGGATAGCGAATGTAATACCGATTTTCAAGAAGGGGGATAGATCACTATCCTCTAACTACCGTCCAATCAGTCTAACATCAATAGTAGGCAAATTACTGGAAGCAATCATTTCAAACTCTATTCGAAATCACCTGGAGAAGCACGGATTGATCAATGATTCCCAGCATGGCTTCACACGCGGACGTTCATGTCTAACTACTCTATTAACATTCTTTTCATCAGTTTTCGAATGGGTGGACGAGGGGCACAATTATGATGTGGTATATCTCGACTTTAGTAAAGCCTTTGACAGAGTCCACCACGAAAGACTAATTAGAAAGGTAGAAGCACATGGGATCAAAGGTAATAAATATCCTTAAATGGATTAGGGCGTGGTTACAGGACAGGAAACAGCGAGTTAGCATTAATGGCACAAAGTCCCATTGGAGCAACGTCACTAGTGGAGTTCCCCAAGGCTCAGTACTTGGACCATTATTATTTATTATATACATAACCGACATAGATATCGGCATAGACAGCAACATAAGTAAATTTGCTGATGACACTAAAATAGGACGTGTTATTAAATATGACGAGGACTCCGCAAAAGTACAGGAAGATCTAAAAAAAATTTCGAATGGTCTGAAAAATGGCAGATGAAATTCAACGTGGACAAATGTAAAGTACTCAGTATAGGAGATGTAAACAGGGAAACCAGATACCAGATGAACATCGATGCCATAGAGAAATCCGACTGCGAGAGAGATTTAGGAGTAATGATATGTAGGAACCTTAAGCCAAGTATACAAAGTGTTTTTGTTCATAACAAGGCTAATAAAGTACTTGGGTTCATACAAAGGAGTGTTAGTTACTAGACTAGTGAGGTCATCCTAAAACTGTTTCTTGGGCTTGTGAGACCACACCTGGATTACGCAGTTCAGTTCTGGTCACCGTATTACAGAATGGATATAGAATCCTTGGAAATAATTCAGAGGAGAATGACAAGACTAATCCCGAGCATTAGGAACCTTGTGTAAAGAGACAGGTTAAAGCATCTTAATTTGCACTCACTCGAGAGATGTAGAGCGAGGGGCGACCTGATAGAGGTGTATAAGTGAAAGTCAGGGCTAAACAAAGGGGACATTACAAAGGTACTCAAACTATCCAACCAGGAGCAAACTCGTAACAATGGTTTTAAATTAGACAAATTTAGATTTAGGAGTGAAATAGGTAAACACTGGTTTGGAAACAGAGTAGTGGATGAATGGAACAAGTTACCAAATATCATCATTAACTGGAATATGCTGAATTGCTTCAAACATAGGTTGGATGCTCATATGAGCAATAGGGGTTGGGTGTAAACGGGACTGCCCAGTATGGGCCAATAGGCCCGCTGCAGTTTCCTCCATTCTTATGTTCTTATGTTCTTATAAAATTCAACTTATTTGCAGAAGATAGTAATCTCTATGCCAGCAACTCAGACCTCCATTCCTTGATGAGAACTATGAACACTGAATTAACGAAAGTCGGGACCTGGGTAATACGTAATAAACTGACCCTAAATCTTGAGAAAACCCACTACACGATCTTTCACAGAAGAAAAACCTTACCTCCAGACTTGAACCCCGTGTACCTTGGTTATATAGTCCTCAAACGCGAACAAAATACTAAATTCCTCGGAGTTATTGTTGATGAGAAACTTAACTGGAGAAACCACATACAAGCCATACACAGTAAAATCAATAAACAGTGTGGTATCATGTATCACACTCGACAGTCACTCACTCTCACAGCAATGAAAGAAATCTATCATGATCTTGTTTACCAACACCTGATACACTGTCACACACTATGGGGGGGCCATTGGCTCTTCAAAAACACAATCTCTGGTTACTGCACAAAAGAGAGTTGTACAGACAATGACTTACTTGAAAAATACAGATCACACAAACGAAAAATTTGCTATATTGAAAATTTTAAAATTCGAAGATATTAACACTTACTGCTGTGCCCTCTTTGTTAACAAATCTATCAATCACTTGTTTGACAATAATTACTTCCAGTTCCGGAATAATCAGAGATACAACTTAAGGCACCCAGAGCTACTTAGACCACCCCCCATGCGCTCCTCTCAGTCCCAGACCTCCATAAAATATTACGGTGTGAAGGTATGGAACAACTTAACCCCACACATCCGAGCAAAGACTACGCTCCCTTCCTTTAAATCATCTCTACAAAAATATCTATTGTCGAAGTATTAATATTTCTTGTAACACTTACTATATTTACAGTACCTGCTTTTATTGTACCACCAAAACCGTTTTATCGGAAATTATCATGTAAATAAATAAGTAATTACCATTGCAATAAACATAATTGCCAACTAGAGATAATCCTGAAAGCTCTGTCCTCTTGTTCACCCTTATTACTGCACAACCTAAGTTGTACTGCTCCCCATTATACGTATGTTTTTAAATTTCACTCTATATATATATATATATATATATATATATATATATATATATGTATATATATATATATATATATATATATATATATATATATATATATGCTGATAACCACAAGGAAAGAAGAAAACACGAAGTTCCCAAGCGCTTTCGTGTAATTCACATCTTCAGGGTGAGTACAGAGGGTTACGTCATAAGGTAGGCTGTACTTACAAGTGCAGGTCGATGTAAATCAGCATGGTGTTCCAAGAGACAACAGTACTGCGTAAATTGTCTTAGCACAAAACTCAGGGACCGGATTGTTAGTTGATGTGTTCACTACTGCCGGCAGAGGGTGGAGGGTGTTCGCAGTATCGTTGTAAGACTCGGTCTAAGCTAGGGGAGGCTAGACAGTCAGCATCTACAAAATTGTTTACTCGGCAGAAACCAGAACCGCTGGCTGTAAACACCCCCTCAGCTCGTTCCACTTCCTTCTACATTTTTATTACTCTCATAACTAAGCTATTTCAAACAATTTATTAACACTGTCCACGCGGTTCCCCGGGGGCGGTAACACTCCCTAAACTCTTGTTCTATGTCTGCGACGTTTACAAACATTTGGCGTTGTCACAGGTTGCGCGGCAACATGGGAGTCACAACACCTCTACAGTCTACAAGGGAGGTCGCGGCGTACGTGGTCGTTGGCTCAGAGGTTTATGTTTGTTTGGGTAAGGTGACACTCCTAGACACATCGGTTGAGGGGCTGGGAGGCACTCAGTGCTGATTGGAGGTGCTGAAGGGCAACAAATGCCAGCACTGTGTAGCTGAAGCCAGAGGCGATAACAGTAACGCAACGTAAAATAAAAACAGAAAGCAACATGTAGTATTTGTTTATATTTCCATTCGTATAATTTTTAAGGCACGACAAGACAATTACTGTACATACGTGTCTTTTATACATAAAATGTAATTTTATTTGATGTTTCTGAATAAACTCTCTAAATTGGAATCCTAATAACAGAACGCAGTATAAATAAACCTGTGTTAACTGAGTCTATCCTAAGTTAACGTAAAGGCAAGTTTTATATTACTATACTCACTCAAAGTTGGGATGAACGATAATCTGCTTGATGTCGTAGTCGACTGGTCTAGAGTTTTTCTCGTTTTGTGAGCTGAAGTCTAGTTCTCCGAGCCTGACTGTCTGTATCCTGTGAAATACCACTAAAATGTTAAAACAACGCCAGCACACGCACTTATGAATGCCTGATGTTCACCTCCAATTCACCAGGCTAGTATAAAAAACAGTTTATAAGACGGCTTATAACAACACACAAACAAACAACTTACGGGAAATCAGGATCGAAGACACAGTGTGCGGCCGTTAGGAGGAAACGGTCAGAGATGGGTGTGGCGCCACATAAAGCGTCCATAACTGTAAAATTACCATTGGTCTCCGGTGTCATCATGTGGGTGCTCCCTGCGGAAATTAACCACCATATTTTACCATAACTGACAATAACATAAATGATTTACTTATGATAAAGAGTCTCACTGAGCTTTTGGAGCCACGACACAAAATTATTGGCGACGCAAAATGAAGGCAAGATGTACTCAGACCTTCCGTACTAAACTCGACCTCTTAATCAGAGTTAAGGACAACACCTGACATAGTAACCTTTGCGAGAGCCCATCTCTGGGATTCTCATAGATTTGTATGTTAGTATCTCTGTTTAAACTACAGATTATCGACGTTATATAGTTACGGCAAAGTTTCAGTACAGATTTGACACTATTTTGGTCGTCGTCAGTGAAAATTATCCCATTGACCTTTAAGACCAAAAACTCACATCAGATACTCAAAGGTTCGGAAACAAACTTTTCTCTTAACTGGTGATGTAGGGATGCATTAAAAGAGCTCGCGTAACACGATGCAGATACTTAGAAGCTACGACTCTACCAAAACTAAATATATTGTCACATCCCAGTTTGTTTAGATGTTTATCGAATGGACCTCTAAGACTCTGAGACCTGGTGATAGTATCGATATAATATTATTAAACCAACATTACCTGGCAACATCATCATCGTCGACTTGTCCCTGTTCATTGTCTGTAAAAGATCAAATAAGTACGTTAATATAAAGGGTTGTTGTTGTTATCATGTTAATACTGCATTTCAACAACGAAGATGTTTGTGTGTAACAAGGAAATACATTAGTCCAGCAACAAAACATTATGAGAGTCAGAACTCGGTAATAATGCTAAAGGGAGAGAAACAGGCCAGGGAAATTTGCAAGTTGTTTAAAAAAATATGAATCTATAAATATATATGTAAGGCAGGTTGGATTACTTGCCGTACACACACTGTACAGGACGCTGCTGGCAGAGTATGAACCTAATCCTGAACAGGAGATTTTAACTGACTTTCTTACAACGTCAAAATGATGACCAAGCTATGATACCAAGATGGTGATCAAGGTATGATACCATGATGGCGACCAAGGTATGATACCAGGATGGTGACTAAGGTATGATACCAAGATGGTCACCAAGCTATGATACCAAGATGGTGACCAAGGTATGATACCAAGATGGTGATCAAGGTATGATACCAAGATGGTCACCAAGCTATGATACCAAGATGGTGACCAAGGTATGATACCAAGATGGTGATCAAGGTATGATACCAAGATGGAGACCAAGGTATGATACCAAGATGGCGACCAAGGTATGAGACCAAGATGGCGACCAAGGTATGATACCAAGATGGTGACCAAGGTATACCAAGATGGTGACCAAGGTATGATACCAAGATGGTCACCAAGCTATGATACCAAGATGGTGACCAAGGTATGATACCAAGATGGTGACCAAGGTATGATACCAAGATGGTCACCAAGCTATGATACCAAGATAGTGACCAAGGTATGATACCAAGATGGTGACCAAGCTATGATACCAAGATAGTGACCAAGGTATGATACCAAGATGGTGACCAAGGTATGATACCAAGATGGCGACCAAAAGACACTAGGACTACTGGGGCTTGGCCTATTTTCAGTTCTACAGGTAATAATATCTTGAGTCTTATAATCACTTGGCTGAGCTGTTATACATCTGTCACGGACTTATTGTGGCAGTAATAAATGTCAAAGGGGTTCATCACCGCATGCAAATCTAAGCTTATTTTGCCCCAAGTGTATTGATGAATTAACAATAAGAATCTCTCTAACCCACATTTACTCTAAAACGAAAAACATTTAAGAATCAACAAAGAAATACTTATTAGACATAGGTATTGTTTCATCTCAATATCCAGTTTTATTTCTTTTGATATTGTTAACTGTGATATGATGTGAGACTTGTGTCTCATAATAATCATGAGGAAAATTTATAACGATTTTTTTTCTCGATATATCATATAAATAATACAAAAACCTTATGAGTCTGCCTTGCGTGAAGTGAACAGAGCATATAATAAGTACTGGTTAGGTGATGTATACAATATAGCTCACCATATTTTGCTACACTCTATATAATTAGTGATTACTTTTGAAAACAGTGAAAAGAATCATTAGTTGACATCAAAATTGATTCAGAAATTCAGAAGTACATAAATTTTGTGATTGTTGTGAAGCGTGGCTACTGATGTAGCTTCACCTCGCAAGCGAGGGGACCCGGGCTCGATTCCCGGGCAGGGTGAAACGATGGGCAAGTTTCTTTACGCCATTTGCCTCTGTCTTTCCAGCAGTAATTGGGGACCTGGATGTTAATCGATTTACGGGTTGTCTTCAGGGGTAATGGTTAGCCAGTGCAGTTGGCGAGTTGTCCGGTCTTTTCGGACTATTCCTTGACACTGGGTCACACAACTCGTTAACTTAGGGTGTGGTTGTTGTGTTGAAGACAGCTTCTACACCTTAAACAAATTCACGCCTAGGTGGCCCTTGAGCAGGCTATCCTCGTTACACAAGGGGCAACCATTATTTATATCTACCTATCTATATTGTACTATAAAATAAAATGATAAAATAAAAGAAAGTGTCTGTCTGGGAGTGTCCAGCCGTAGTTTCATAATGGAAGTACTAAGAGACCTGAAAATTTACACACATATTACATGGGTCCCAAGGTTGTGCACCGTGTTATTGCTATTGACCATGGACGCCCGGGCGGTCCAGGCAAGAATTAAGTATCTTTTCTGGCGGAGTTATCGCTACAGTGATTGCGGGAGGTGGTTACACGTGTTACGGAGGGCAGACTGAGGCAGTCAAGTTTATAAAGTATATAACTAACCCGCGCAAAACCGGGTAATTTGACTAGTAAAGGTTAAGATAAAATACCAACACTGAAACAATTGAAAATGTTTTCTCATTACTGATATTTAGTAAACTTGAAGGTTAGCTGAGAACGCCATGAGATGCAATTATTATTAAGGTCCTTAGGCCTATGCCAGCATCCTCTGGAGTTTCGGTTACACTAGCCACTGATATCCCTGGATAGATTAACTATCCAAACGGCTAATAAGCTGATAAGTGGCGAAAAATTATATAATACCAATGAGCATCATTAAGAAAGTAGCCCACTTATTACTACCTGTTCTCCTACACATTTGTAACTCCTCCTTCACTAGTGGTGTCTTTCCAGATAAACTGAAAATTGCCAAAGTTTACCCAGCATATAAAAAAATCTGGGGATAAAGGTCTTTTCAAGAGTTACCGCCCCATTTCAGTCCTACCAGCCTTAAGTAAGATACTGGAGAAGCTAGCGTGTAGTAGACTTAATTCCTTCGACAGTGCCAACATCCTTACAGACTCTCAGTTGGATTTAGAGCTAGAAGGTCAACTGACAGTGCTCTGCTATCTTTTACTAATGACATCTTAAACTTCTTTGATGACAGTCAGTTCACAGTCGGAATATTCCTGAACCTCTCTAAAGCCTTTGATACACTCGACCATACCATCCTCCTGGCAAAGATTGAACATTACGGCGTTAGGGGCTTATCCCACAATTGTTTTACCTCATATCTGTCTAATAGGAAGCAGTATGAGTGCTATAATAATCATCAATCTGACTCCTCACCAATTTTGTATGGCGTCCCTCAAGGCTCCATTCTCGGTCCTGTACTGTTCTTGTTGTACATAAACGATATAGTCCACTCCAGCACACTCGTCAAATACAACTTATTTGCAGACGATAGTAATCTCTATGCCAGCAACTCAGATCTCCATTCCTTGATGAGAACTATGAACACTGAATTAACCAAAGTCAGGACCCTGGGTACTACATAATAAACTGATCTTAAACCACGAAAAATCCCACTACACAATCTTTCACAGAAGGAAAAACCTACCACCAGATTTGGACCCTCTTTAACTTGGTAATAGAGTCCTTGGGGTTGTTGTTGATAAGAAACTTAGCTGGAGAAACCACATATAAGCCATTCACAGTAAAGTCAATAAACAGTGCGGTATCCTGTATCACACTCGTCGGTCACTCACTCTTGCAGCAATGAAAGAAGTCTATTATGATCTTGCTTACCAACACTTGATACACTGTCACACACTAAAGGGGGCCTCTGGCTCTTGAAAAACACATCCCCTGATTACTGCATAGAAGAGAGTTGTGAGGACAATGAATTATGTGAAAAAACTGATCACACTAACGAACAATTTGCTGAATTGAAAATGTTAAAATTCGAGGATATTAACACCTACTGCTGTGCCCTCTTTGTTTTCAAATTTATCAATCACTTGATTGATAATAATTATTTTCAGTTCCGGAATAATCCGAGATACAACTTAAGACACCCAGAGCTACTAAGACGAACCCCCCATGCGCTCCTCTCAGTCCCAAACATCCATAAAATATCAGGTGTGAAGGTGTGGAACAACTTACCCCCACGCAACCAAGCAAAGACTACGCTCCCTTCCTTTAAATCATCTCTTAAAAAATATATATTGTTTAAGTATTAATATTCTTGTAATATCTACTTTTCATTCTTGCTCATATTGTACCACCAAAATCATTATATCATAGATTGTCATGTACAGTAGATAGAGAGAAACTACCATTGCAATAATTATAGTTGCCTACCAGACATGATACTAACAGCTCTGTCTTCGTGTTCCATTTTAATATAACCCATGTTGTACTGCTTCCCTTCCTTATCATATTTATGTACATTAGCACCACTGTAAATTAAATGTACTTTATATATCAAGTGCCTTCAAGAAAGCTCAGGCTCTCAATTGGCTTAATCATGTTAATATTGTTATTATTATCAACTCTTTTTTCTGGCTAAATAAACTGCTTCAATATCAATATCAATAATAAAAATCCACTGCGATGGACGAATATCTTGGCTTCATGAGGCAATATAGTACTTGGCCTTCTTGCTAAGAATTGTTTCTTGAGAACAAGAAATTTGTTGCTCCAAGATGAAATGCTTCTAGCAAAACACAAGCTGGCCACTGTATGTGTTGTCCACCGCCGCAGTCAAGCGAGTGCTGGATGATAAATTTTTGAACAATTCTTATTCATTGATTAGATTTTCATTTAAAATTGACCGGCGTGATAATAGTATGCTCGCTCAGGAGACGAGCGAGAGGAAGCTTTCCATACTACTGTAGACTCTGTAGCGGCTGTTGGCATGTGGCGCTTACTCGCATCCGCAGTGATACCGTTCAGTTTTGATGGAAAAATTATGCTCGTATATTCCAGCCAATAAAATCTCAAATCTCATATACAAGTAAGTTTTTGATCTTATAATTAGCCCTTTTCAGAAAATACACCAGAATGGATTTGAGAAATCAGTAAACCTGCTAATAAATCTGTAGGAACTGAACACTGCGTGAGTCACAGATACTGTAGTTGGCGCCAAGATGCCCTCCAGGCAACTTCTTCCACTAGAGATTTTATTAAAATTTTGAGTAGAAAACAGAAAAGAAAACAAAAAGAAATGTGTAAGTAAAAAAGTGAACTTAGAGGTGAACTCGGTGCTGGAAATACTCTTCTAAATGAACTACAGGGTGAATATCACATATTCTTATATATATATATATATATATATATATATATATATATATATATATATATATATATATATATATATATATATATATATATATATATATATATATATAATATGATTATTATCCCTAATCTGAATCTGCAAAAAACAAAAACATTTCATACTACACTGAACACTATAATGAGTCAACATCCAGTGCTGCTAATTACAACTGCCCGCTCCACTAGTATACTAGTGATTGAAAATTTCAGTGACTACCAACTTCCACACGAGTGAAAATCCGCTAGCCTGCTAGTGGTGGAGGCGAGTTACTTGCTGCTAGTGGAATCATTGACACGACGCGTGTAAAGCACTAGTTGCTATTGTGTCAACACTGACACCTTGTAGCAAACGTCGTATAAACGGGACTGATGTTACCCCTGCATCTTCCTGCCGCGCATAACAGAGAAACCTGTACCATAATTAAATGTACTAAATAATCATTTCCATTAGGTTATACTTTATGGTAAACAAATATATTGTTGCAATTAATGATTTTGACAGTGAATATTTTGTAAAAAGAAATACATATTTTGCATTAAGTTTACACACTGTAATGCTTTGTAATGAAATTGACTAACGAAATGACTTTTCTTATAATTCATCTCCAATTTAAAACCAATCATTATGACTGAGTGAAGTGTTTAGAAACTACAAGGAATATAAGCAGTCCCCATACTCCCAGGAACACAACACGCAGCACTTCTAATAGTCACAGTTAGTTTTTCCAATAGCCGAGAACTTGAGGAGAAAATTAACACAGGAAACACAGTAATACCCGGGAAAGGGCGGCTTCTTCTCGAAGTCTTTCTGCCTCGTCTGGAAAGATGATCCTCGTCGGGTCAAGGTTGACGTCACTGCCTCCGTAATTGAGTTTAGTGGTGGTAGTAGTGCTTGGGTAGCCTCGTCCACACTCTGGGGTACAAAAATCATCTATTATGAACTCCGACAGACAAAGTGATGCATTGTGTGCCTTGTCTCATAGTCTTTTGACAGAAGGAGTTAAATTTTCGGCGAGAAACTTACCGAAGTCAGGATCGACGATGGTTTGTATTCGTGAGAGCGGTCGTGAAGGATCAACAAGAGGTAGTGCTTGGGGTGCTGTAGAACGTCGAGGGTCCCCTATCCTACAACCCCCACAGGTGTGGCGGCAATTGGCCATCATAAAGTCTCGGTGGGTCTGACAGGCCCCGGAAGCCAGTCCCAAGTTACAACTGGCTCTCTTGTCTACACAATCAGGATCTACCGAGACAAGCATACACGTGAACACGTAAGAGATAATAAACAAACAAAGTTTAAGGTAATAAATATACACTTTAATTCATAGATGGATACAAGTGATCGTGGGCCCTTCGTGCCTGGTGGCAAGTCCGGTGGTACAGTTTACCGAGGCGTGAAATTCGAACGCTCATTCTCGGCTAGCGCGCAACCGCCGTTCGGCTGACAGGGTATAGCGACATCGTTTTCCAGATGGTCATGGTTGTTATAATCATGGTCGTGGTTGTTATAATCATGGTCGTGGGTGATAAAATCATAGTCGAGGTTGTTATAATTATGGTCGTGGTTGTTATAATTATAGTCGTAGTTGTTATAATCATGGTCGTGGTTGTTATAATAATGGTCGTGGTTGTTATAATCATGGTCGTGGTTGTTATAATCATGGTCGTGGGTGTTATACTCATGGTCGTGCGTGATATAATCATAGTCGAGGTTGTTATAATTATGGTCGTGGTTGTTATAATCATGGTCGTGGTTGTTATAATCATGGTCGTGGTTGTTATAATCATGGTCGTGGTTGTTATAATCATGGTCGTGGTTGCTATAATCATGGTCGTGGTTATGATCATAGTCGTGGTTGTTATAATCATGGTCCTGGTTGATATAATTATGGTCGTGGTTGTTATTATTATAGTCGTGGTTGTTATAATCATGGTCATGGTTGTTATAATTATAGTCGTGGTTATAATCATGGTCGTGGTTGTTATAATCATGGTCGTGGTTTATGATCATAGTTGTAGGTGTTATAATCATGGTCGTGGTTGTTATAATTATACTCGTGGTTGTTATAATCATGGTCGTGGTTATGATCATAGTCGTGATTGTTATAATCATGGTCGTGGGTGATATAATCATAGTTGAGGTTGTTATAATCATGGTCGTGGTTGTTATAATCATGGTCGTGGTTGTTATAATTAAAGTCGTGGTTGTTATAATCATGGTCGTGGTTATGATCATACTCGTGGTTGTTATGGTCATGGTCGTGATATAATCATAGTCGTGGTTGTTGTAATCCGGTCCTGGTTGTTATAATCATGGTCGTCTGTTATAATCATGGTCGTGGTTGTTATAATTATAGTCGTGGTTGTTATAATCATGGTCGTGGTTGTTATAATTATAGTCGTGGTTGTTATAATCATGGTCGTGGGTGACTTAATCATAGTCGAGGTTGTTATAATAATGGTCGTGGTTGTTATAATCATGGTCGTGGTTGTTATAATTATGTCGTGGTTGTTATAATCATGGTTGTGGTTATGATCATAGTCGTGGTTGTTATAATCAGGGTCGTGGGTGACAATCATAGTCGAGGTTGTTATAATCATGGTCGTGGTTATGATAATAGTCGTGATTGTTATAATCATGGTCGTGGGTGATATAATCATAGTCGAGGTTGTTGTAATCATGGTCCTGGTTGTTATAATCATGGTCGTCTTTGTTATAATAATGGTCGTGGTTATGATCATACACGTGGTTGTTATGATCATGGTCGTGGGTGATATAATCATAGTCGTGGTTGTTGTAATCATGGTCCTGGTTGTTATAATCATGGTCGTCTTTGTTATAATCATGGTCGTGGTTGTTATAATTATAGTCGTGGTTGTTATAATCATGGTCGTGGTTGTTATAATTATAGTCGTGGTTGTTATAATTATAGTCGTGGTTGTTATAATCATAGTCGTGGTTGTTATAGTCATGGTCGTGGTTATGATCATAGTCATGATTGTTATAATCATGGTTGTGGTTATGATCATAGTCGTGGTTGTTATAATCAGGGTCGTGGGTGATATAATCATAGTCGAGGTTGATATAATCATAGTCGAGGTTGTTATAATAATGGTCGTGGTTGTTATAATCATGGTCGTGGTTGTTATAATTATGTCGTGGTTGTTATAATCATGGTCGTGGTTGTTATAATCATGGTCGTGGTTATGATCATAGTCGTGATTGTTATAATCATGGTCGTGGTTATGATCATAGTCGTGGTTATTATAGTCATGGTCGTGGGTGATATAATCATAGTCGTGGTTGTTGTAATCATGGTCGTGGTTGTTATAATCATGGTCGTGGTTGTTATAATTATAGTCGTGGTTGTTATAATCATGGTCGTCTGTGTTATAATCATGGTCCTGGTTGTTATAATCATAGTCGTAGTTGTTATAATCATGGTCCTGGTTGTTATAATCATGGTCCTGGTTGTTATAATCATGGTCGTGGTTGTTATAGTCATGGTCCTGGTTGTTATAATCATAGTCGTGGTTGTTATAATCATGGTCGTGGTTGTTATAATTATAGTCGTGGTTGTTATAATCATGGTCGTCTGTGTTATAATCATGGTCCTGGTTGTTATAATCATAGTCGTGGTTGTTATAGTCATGGTCCTGGTTGTTATAATCATAGTCGTGGTTGTTATAGTGGTCCCGTTGTTATAATCATGTCGTGGTTGTTATAATCATGGTTATAGTCGTGGTTGTTATAATCATGGTCGTTGTTGTTATAATGGTCCCATGGTCCTGGTTGTTATAATCATGGTCGTGGTTGTTATAATTATAGTCGTGGTTGTTATAATCATGGTCGTGGTTGTTATAATTATTGTCGTGGTTGTTATAATCATGGTCGTGGTTGTTATATTTATAGTCGTGGTTGTTATAATCATGGTCGTGGTTGTTATAATCATGGTCCTGGTTGTTATAATCATGGTCGTGGTTGTTATAATTATAGTCGTGGTTGTTATAATCATGGTCGTGGTTATGATCATAGTCGTGATTGTTATAATCATGGTCGTGGTTGTCATAATCATGGTCGTGGTTGTTATAATCATGGTCGTGTTTGTTATAATCATGGTCGTGATTGTTACAATAAGGGTCGTACCTGAGACTAACACAGGTAGAATAAACCCCACACCTTATCTTTAATCTCTATAAACCCAGATTAACCTCACCTAATCAACAGGATTAGAGACCATTAGGATTGTACCACCAATACCGACACATTTCACACTGGATTAATAACAAAACATTTAATCACATTTCCAATAGCTAATGTCTTACGGATATCTTATCAAATTGTGAGTCTTACATGTCTATATAATTATGTTTTAATCTTACAAATATTTATAGTTCGTTGTGTATTGTATTGTGTGGTATGGTATTGCATGGTATTGTATGGTATTGTACTGTATTGTATCCGGCTGACAGCGTAAAGCAAATGAGGGTGCGGCAAGTCCGTAGACTTGCATTGTTTTCCATCGTAAATAATATGATTAATTAATGCCTTCCTAAAGAAACCATCGACATGGGACCAGGTTTGTTCTACTGTACGAATTTTTAGCGATCTTCCCACCAAGTTTGATGAAAAACGATTGTGCCGTTTCGGATGCCCAGAACAGATACACACACGGCTAGTCCTATAGTATATTAGATAATGAATACGCTCATATTACATAGATGGAGTTGTACGTAATAATTAGTGAAACTTAATTTACACCCTTGCAATAGTCATTCTGCATTATAATCGTACAAAACTTAATTTAAACATTCACAGGGTAAATTACTCAGTTAGTAGACCTTCGAAGTTGTAAGTCCTCTCTGTAGCGATACTAAAAACAATATATCCGCCATCTTGTGACGTTACATTTTGTATCTAGAGGCCGGAACTTTCAGGACCTTCGGAGCTCCTGTACGGGAATAAACCCCGGACATAGTGTGTATATTTCCTGATTACATAAACAATATATATTTCTTCGAAGCTATGATAAGCCTTATTAAAGCTATTTTATCTGACAATACTGTAGAAAATAGGTTCTATGCTTTATTTCAACATACAGCCTTGGGGGTACAGCATGGCAGTTTACTGCTTGCCATCATCAGTGTGATGACTGTGTTAACATTTTGGATTGGCGAGTGAGGGTCCATATATCTTCGGCGATTTACCTTCTAATCCAATTTCCCGACAGAAAGCCCTCAATATATAATTCATCATCTTATGTCATCATTTTCGTTGTCTTCCATCACAGAACACTTAAAAATTTCTCTATAACAACTGTCTTACACACAATTACACGCTCCTCCGCAATAAACAGATGATGTAGAGTAGTGTGAACAATGAAGAAGGCGAATAATGAGGCAGCACGGCGACTGGGAACTGGTACAAATTTATGAATCTATGATAAACAATGAGGTTAAATGCAAAGTTAAGTTTACCAAAAAGGCTATATTCATATTATACTAGCTTTAAAACCTAAGGTCGGCTATAACTCAAAGTTAAGAGTACTGTTCATAACCCAACATACCTAAACATGCATTACAGCTAACTGGACAGTTCTGTAACATGAAACCAGGGTCGGTGTCACATAAGGCATTACTGGCCCACTGCAAACAATCTGGTGAATGATCCTCACAGCTGCCTGCAACAGACAACAAACTGAATGTTAGCTTCCTGTAACTCACAATAAACTGTATGTTTGCTGTTTACACCAAATTATATGTAAGCTAATTATAAGAGGCCATAAGTTAGCTGCCTGTTAGAAACTGCCCGTTAGTTGTTTGTAACAAAGTTATGCACCCATTCTGATGGTGCTGTAATGGCCCCTGTTTCATAAACAGAATGATTATATAAATGGGTAATTACATATTGATTTATATACATAATCATCCCCTGTAACTTTCCACTGAATAAGATGAGTCATCTTGATGGCATCTGGTCGGCACCCTTCTTTTTAAGGTGTGGCCAGAGACAGCTTAGGTCAGCGTTGAAAGGGCCGGGCGATCGGGGCACTGACACCCTGAGGCCTCACTCTCCCTCAACGCTTCACATAGGAAAGACGTTTTTAAGCAGGTCTATTTACATAGCCTCCGTCCTTTTCTTAACACTCATAGTTACAGTGATAAGTTACGGTTGATTTACACTTTGGAATTGTCTTAGTTGTTCCTGAATAAATGGATAACAAACAACTTGGGTTTTGCTACTAATACCCAATAAAATATAAATGTTCCAGCCTAGTTAACTTCGACAGAACCTACAGTTAGCAGGCTATGACAGTGGTCCACTCAATGGTCTGCAGTGGAAATCAAAAGGAAATCGTTGAATAAGGAGGCAATTCACCACCGCATACCCTAGTTAACTGTAAACAACAGCTATTTTAGCCAAGTGTCATCTACTGTAAATTAGCTATCTGTCATATATTGTATATTAGCTATCGGTCATATATTGTATATTAGCTATCTGTCATATATTGTATATTAGCTATCGGTCATATATTGTACATTAGCTATCTGTCATATATTGTATATTAGCTATCGGTCATATATTGTACATTAGCTATCTGTCATATATTGTATATTAGCTATCGGTCATATATTGTATGTTAGCTATCTGTCATATATTGTATATTAGCTATCGGTTATATATTGTATATTAGCTATCTGTCATATATTGTATATTAGCTATCGGTCATATATTGTATATTAGCTATCTGTCATATATTGTATATTAGCTATCGGTCATATATTGTATATTAGCTATCTGTCATATATTGTATATTAGCTATCGGTCATATATTGTATATTAGCTATCTGTATATATTGTATATTAGCTATCGGTCATATATTGTATATTAGCTATCGGTCATATATTGTATATTAGCTATCTGTCATATATTGTATATTAGCTATCTGTCATATATTGTATATTAGCTATCGGTCATATATTGTATATTAGCTATCTGTCATATATTGTATATTAGCTATCGGTCATATACTGTATGTTAGCTATCTGTCATATATTGTATATTAGCTATCGGTCATATATTGTATATTAGCTATCTGTCATATATTGTATATTAGCTATCTGTCATATATTGTATATTAGCTATCGGTCATATACTGTATGTTAGCTATCGGTCATATATTGTATATTAGCTATCGGTCATATACTGTATGTTAGCTATCTGTCATATACTGTATATTAGCTATCGGTCATATATTGTATATTAGCTATCGGTCATATACTGTATGTTAGCTATCTGTCATATACTGTATATTAGCTATCGGTCATATATTGTATATTAGCTATCGGTCATATACTGTATGTTAGCTATCTGTCATATATTGTATATTAGCTATCTGTCATATTCTGTTGTTAGGTGCAACCAATTACTTCATGAGTTGTACGCCCCTGCTGGACATATTGTAACCGAGTATGTATTCTTGATATATATTGTATGATTATATATTTTTTCAGACTAGAATTATATTGTTTTTTGGTGTGAATAGATTATAATATTAAATACTGTAATAGCATTAACAATGACATGTTAAGTGCGATGGTTGGGTCAGTCTGCTCAAAGCAAGCTATACAAGCCGACGGCTTCAGAGACGGCTAAGTAGCAAACAAGCTCTGGGTAGTCTTCGGACCTCCACCACTGGCCTGTGTTGTCAGTTGACTTCAGTCTTTGATCGGGTGATGTACTCATGTTATTCATTGTTGAGGCTGGCTGGCTGTTGTTCGTGTTGTATGTATTTATGTTCTAGAATCGTGTATTGATTTGGTTGTTAATGATATTAGAAACTGTAAAGTAGCCTAGTATGTTCATGTGATTAGCTTTACTTCATTGTTATTAGTGGTAAGTGTTTGTAAATATAGTTCTACATTTTATTTAAGTTTTTTTACTCCAATCGTCAAGTATTCAGTTATTAAAAGGGGCTGCATTCAATCCATACATTACACCGTAGTTGGAGTTGTTCTCGATACAAGTTTAAGAACCATATATTGTAATTCTCTTTATATACCTTCACTTTTTGTTTGTTACGAGCCTTACCCCTTTGACACGTAACACTGTATATAAACTTCCTGTCACATACTGTATATTAACATGATGGGCCAGGTCATCACAACACCTTGGACACCTCGCCCCAGCATCATTACACATGTGCCTTGACATAATTCGATGTGATGAGACTACTTTTTGTTCCTATAAATCATTCCTGGGGTCACTTATTGGATGGTTTACTGCTGTACCTTTCTGCATGTCCTTCACTTCAAGAGAATATGAGAATTTGACACGTGTCTGTCCTGCAGTGCGGCCGTTAACAGGCACCCCAGAGTGTTGCCACAGTGGGTTGGTTTACACTTCCTGCAGATGAGGAACGGCTTTTGGATTTTCGAGTAAATTAATAACAGCTAAAAATTAGACCAAAGAAGGTCCCAGAAAATGTATTTATTATCATCATTGTTTGATGTTATCATTATTATTATTACGCTTCGTAAATAGCAGCAGTAGTAGCAATAGTTGTACATACTTACCAAAATGGGCTTGTGTTTGGGTGGCCCAGACACCAGTCACCATCAAGGCTGCCCATAACTTTTTATTAATCCTCGTCATCAGTAACAGGTGTGGATGGACAAGAACTGGACTCTGCGTTGAGGTGGTGATGACTTCAATATCCAGGATGTACAGGGAGTGTCTCTCTTATCTTGTGTTTTATGCTGTGAATGTGAGAGAGAAGTGACTGAGAGAGTGAAAGAGATATGACTAAGAGAGTGAGAGAGAAATAGAGAGACAGGGTGAAAGTGAGAGATAATAAGACCTAAAAAAAAAACTACGGTGACACAAGATCGCGTATACTTTTTTTTTTCATTGGGAATAGGCCACCCAGGCGCAGGTCATCGACCCACAACGGGGCCTGGGGGGCGAAAAATAAGAGAAAAAAGAAATTAAAAATAGAAAAGAAAAATATATTAATATACACCACGAAGATGACGGAAAAACATCTTTTTAAAGTGAGACGGACTGTATCAGTATGGAAACACAGAAGAAGGCAGAGCACTCCACAGTTTGGCTGTGTGAAGAAAGAAGGATGTACTATAACGGGTTATTCTAGTGTGACCGACATCCACAGAGAAACGGTGAGCACCGCGGGCAAGATGAGTGTTACGGTACATAGGATGCCAAATCCACCAAACATTGCCAGTTAAAGTACCTGTAAAAGAGAGAGAGTGAAGCAGCATTGAGGCGAAGAGAAAGGGAAGAAAGATTATCAGCTAAAGGAGGAGAGTTAATAAGACGAAATGGCTTTGATTCCACCCTGTCTAACAGTTGGGCAGAAGAAGAGCCACCCCAGATATGAGAGCAGTACTCCAAGTTAGGACGAATGAATCCCTTATATACTTAAAGCAACTGTTCAGGAGTGCAGTAGACACGGCATCTGTACAGCATTCCCAGTTTTCGGGAGGCAGCTTTAGCAATGTTGAGGATGTGTGGCTTCCATGACATATTAGAGGAAATGGTGAGGCCTAACATATCTATTTTAGAAATTGGCAGAATGATTGCGTCCTGAAATTTGATTGGTGGGAGATCATCTAATTTTGAAAGTGTAATTGGTAAATACTGAGTTTTATTACTATTGAATTTAACCAAATTTCTACCACCCCATTCGGATATGCTGCACAGATCCGCATTGATAGATGAAATAATATCAACTCTAGAAACAGATCTAGTTTGAGAATTAGGGGTAAGGGGAAAATGTGAAGAAGAGTGGAGAGTAGAATCATCAGCATAAGAATGGAAAGAATTAGTGTGAAGTAAATTACTGATAAAAAAGAAGGAAGAGAATAGGTGAAAGAACAGAACACTGCAGGTCACCACTATTGGTAGAGAAAGAGCGAGAGATCGATCCCTCGACAACAACTGCCATGGATCGGTTCTCAAGGAAGCTAGAAATTAGAGAAAGTGGGGGAAAGAAAGCATAAAAGGAAGTTTAGAAAGCAAAGACTTGTGCCATACCCAGTCAAATGCTTTGGAGATGTCGAGGGCTACGACGAAAGTTTCCCCAGAATCCCGAAGAGAGGATGACCAAAGATGGGTGCACTAGGAGAGCAGATCACCAGTAGATCTCGCCTGGTGAAAGCCATACTGGTGATCCGACAGAAGAGAATGGCGTTCAAGGTGACGGAGAAATTGTGAGTTCAAGTTAGTTTCGAAAATATTAGAGAGGGACGGAGTTAGGGCAATGGGGCGATAGTTAGAGGGATTGGAATGGTCACCCTTCTAAGGGGATGGGCTGAAGGATAAGTTTGGGTTTTGAGGCAAAGGCGAAAGAGTCGAGCAAGCACAGGGGCCAGAATTTCATCACACTCCCTTAGAACACGATGGGGGTATTCCGACCGGTCCATGCACCTTACTCACATCCAACTTGGATAGCACAACAACAACCCTACGAGTGGAGATTATAAGAAAGTGCATAGGTTCAGTAGGAGCAGGAGTAGTAGGAGAGATAGAGTTGGAATCGTCTAAAGTTGAGTTAGAGGAGAATAAGGTGCCAAAGGGATTGGATTTATCGGGGGGAGAATTGGCTAAAGAGTTATCAGGTCGGAAGAGAGGAGGAAAAGAAGGATGCAGAAATTATTACAGATGTTTTTGGTTAAGGACCAGAAGCATTTACTAGAAGAAGAGTTAGTCAGGACAGCGGTCTTTCTTTTTATAAGACTCCGCTTAGCCCTACGAAGAATAACCTTACAACGATTCCTAGAAGTAACGAAAGAGGAGTGGGTAATAGGAGAAGGAGATAGTTTCATAGCTTGATATGCAAGAGAACAGGAGCGATCAAATCATGATTGTAAAGTGAAAGGTTTAGTAGAAGATGAGATAAATACACTCATACCGCCCTGTATAACCCCAGCAATGCTGTCAGCACATACCGAGGCGTCCCGAGTGGAAAAACAACATTCATCCCAATTAAAGTCAGAGAAGAATTCTCGCAAGGATTGCCAGTTTGCCCTCCGATAGTGCCGTAGTTGACGTTTAGAGGGGGTGGGGGAGGTGGTCGTGCACAGTTTGATTTAATAGAAATAAGATTGTGATTAGACGACCCTAAGGGAGCAGAAATTGAGTGTGAATAGTGTGAGGGGTTAGAGGTAAAACAAAGATCAAGAATGCTAGTAAGTTGATCGTGTCGATCGGGAACGAGTGGAGGTGATTAATTATTTGATCCAGATCATTAAGCAAGGCAAAAAAGAGTGCCTCAACTCTCCACCTGAGTCATCACTTCGTCCTATCATCCTCCTCCAGGACAAGACAGACCAGAGTACTGATACTCCAGACTGGACACTAACCAACAGGATCACTCACATCACCGTATCATTACAAAACAGTGAAGTCTTTAAGGAATCGTACTATCTAATGTTCTCATGGTTAACAGATTCCATGTGTTCCTCATGGCACTCCTCACTCCGGGTACATGATACACCTTAAGGCTACGCGATGCTACGATTATCAAGAGGAGGTTCACCTTTGATGTGTCTGTGTACCGTTATGATCTCCTTGCCAGAGAGCTTTCATTCTACGCCTCACTTGGATCTGATACAGAGAGAGAGAGAGACAGAGAGAGAGAGAGAGAGAGAGAGAGATATCGATTCATCACTCAACCAAATTACACATGAGCACATGAGAAATCAACACATTATACAGGTATAATTGACAAAACACAACATTATCACTGTCGCATTTCCAGCACCAATACAACACCTACCATTACCCACACATCACCCACCATTACCCACACAACATCTCCCGAGAGACACACAACACCTACCACTACCCACACAACAACTACCATTACCCACACAAAATCTACCACTACCCACCCAACACCTACCACTACCCACACAAAACCTACCATTACCCACACAAAATCTACCACTACCCACCCAACACCTACCACTACCCACACAAACCCTACCATTGCCCACACAAAATCAACCACTACCCACACAACGCCTTCCACTACCCACACAACAACTACCATTACCCACACAACATACTACCACTACCCACACAACACCTACCACTACCCACACACAACGCCTCCACTACCCACACAACAACTACCATTACCAAACAACACCTTCTACTACCCACACAACACCTACCATTACCCACACAACATCTACCACTACCACACAACACCTACCACTACCACACAACATCTACCACTACCCACACAACACTTATCACTATCACACAACACCTACCACTACCATACAACATCTACCACTACCACAACACCTGCCACTACCCACACACAACACCTACTACTACCCACACAACACCTACCATTACCCACACAACACCTACCACTAACCACACAACACCTTTCACACTATAACACAACACCTACCACTTCCACACACCTACTACACCACACAACACCTACCACAACCACACCCACACTACCCACACAACACCCACCACAACAACACAACGCTTATCATCCACCCACATAACACCTACCACAACCACACACCCAATACTACCCACACAACACCTACCACAACAACACATCTAATACTACCCACACAACACCCACTCACCCACACAACACCCATCACTACCCACATAACACCTACCACAACCACACACCTACTGCTACCCACACAACACCTACCACTACCCACACAACACCTACCACTACCCACACAACACCTATCACTATCACACAACACCTATCACTACCCACACAACACCTACCACTACCCATACAACACCTACCATTACCACACAACACCTATCACTATCACACAACACCTATCACTACCCACACAACACCTACCACGACCACACACCTACTACTACCCCCACAACACCTACCACTACCCACACAACACCTATCACTATCACACAACACCTACCACAACCACACACCTACTACTACCCACACAACACCTTCCACACCCACACACAACACCTACCACTACCACACCCACCACTACCACAAACACCTACCACTACCCACACAACACCCACCACTACCACACACAACACCTACCACTACCCACACAACACCTACCACTACCACACACAACACCACACTACCACACACAACACCTACCACTACCACACAACACCTACCACTACCCACACAACATCTACCACTACCACACAACACCCACTACCACCCACACAACACCTACCACTACCCACACAACACCTACCACTACCACACAACACCTACACTACCACACAACACCTACCACTACCACACAACACCCACACTACCCCACACAACACCTACCACTAACCACACATACACCTTCACTACACACAACACCTACCACTACCCACACAACACCTACCACTACCACACAACACCTTACCACTAACCACACACACCTGCCACACACAACACCACCACTACCCACACAACACCTACCACTACCACACAACACCTACCACTACCCACACAACACCTACACTATCACACAACACCTACCACTACCCACACAACACCTACCACTACCACAACACCTACCACTACCCACACAACACCTACCACTACCCACACAACACCCACCACTACCCACACAACACCTTCCACTACCACACAACACCTACCACTACCCACACAACACCCACCACTACCACACAACACCTACCACTACCACACAACACACCTATCACTATCACACACAACACCTACCACTACCCACACAACACCTACCACTACCCACACAACACCTACCACTACCCACACACCTACCACTACCACACAACACCTACCACTACCCACACAACACCCACCACTACCCACACAACACCTACCACTACCACAACACCTACCACTACCACACAACACCTACACTAACACACAACACCACACTACCACACAACACCTCCACTACCACACAACATCTACCACCCACACATAACACCTACCACCACCCACACAACACCTACCACTACCACACAACACCTACCACTACCACACAACACCCACCACCACAATACCACCACTACCCACACACAACACCTGCCACACCCACACAACATCTACCACTACCACACAACACCTACCACTACCCACAACACCTACCACTACCCACACAACACCTATCACTATCACACAACACCTACCACTACCACACAACCCTACCACTACAACACCTACACTACCACACAACATCTACCACTACCACACAACACCTATCACTATCACACAACACCTACCACTACCACACAACACCTACCACTACAACACCTACCACTACCCACACAACACCTACCACTACCACACAACACCCATCACTACCACACAACACCTACACCACCACACAACACCTCACTATCACACAACACCTACCACTACCACACAACACCACTACCACTACAACACCTACTACTACCACACAACACCTACCACTACCACACAACACCCCACTACCACACAACACCTACCACTAACCACACAACACCTACACTACACACAACCTCCCCCACTACTACCCACACAACACCTAATATTACCCCACAACACCTACCACTAACCCACACAACACCCAACACTATAACACAACACCTACCACTACCACACACCTACTACTACCCACACAACACCTACCACAACCACACACCTACTACTACCCACACAACACCTACCACAACAACACATCTACTACTACCCACACAACACCTACCACCACCCACAACACCCACCACTACCCACAACACCCACCACCCACACAACACCCATAACCACCCACCACAACCACACACCACACCCACACAACACCACTGTATCACTATAACACAACACCTACCACTACCACACCCAACACCACCACACACAAACCTATAACTACCCAAACACCACCTACCACTACCCACACAACACCCATAACTACCCCACAACACCTACCACTACCCACACAACACCTATAACTAACAACACCTACCACTACCACTACCACACAACACCCATCACTTACACAACACCTATCACTACCCACACAACACCTACCACTACCCATACAACACCTACCATTACCAACAACACCCATCACATCACACAACACCTATCACTACCCAAAACAAAACCTACCACGACCACACACCTACTACTACCCCCACAACACCTACATACCACCCACACAACACCTATCACTATCATACACAACACCTATAGGCCGTTAAGATTAATCTCCTCCCACACCTTCCGAAACTGTCAACTTAGGACGGAGAACCCTAATTTAATTTAGCAGCTACTTATGAACAATTTATTGTGACAATCCATAATGCTCAAAAAAACATCCCTAAAGAAAATTCAGATCGATAAGGAACCAACCAAATGGATGAATAATAGACTCTTAGATTCTAAAAAGAAAGGAGTATATAGAAAAGTTAAGAAAGGCGAAAATCACTTACTTGGTTACTATCAGAACCTAACAAGACAGATAAGAACAGAAATTAGGAAAGCAAAGAGAAATTATGAAATCAAGGTAAACGAATCGAAAAATAACCCCAAAGCTTTTTATCAACTGTATAAATCAAAGGTTAGAGATACAATAGGTCCCTTAAAACTACGAAGGAGAATGACTGATGATGAGTTAGAAATGTAGTACGTTAAATATCATTTTGCTCAGATTCACAAATGAAAACCAGCACAGTTTCAAGTTCACATATATAACGACAGTATAGAAAATATGTTGATGAATATCAATATTACTAGTAACGATGTGCTTAAAGTAATTAACAAACTGAAGCTTCATAAATCGCCTGGTCCAGACGAGGTATATGCTAGAATATTAAAAGAA